TGGTAAAACGAAAAGCAGTTACCGTTGTAGTGTAAATTTGTACACCATGATGGGAGTCTGAGGGCGAAGTACTGTTGCTAACTGGCTGGGGTGACAGTAAGGTTTTCTCCTTAGATGACCAGTGGTGTCGTACTGTTTCTCCCTTCTTTTTGGGAAGGGCTGGCGGATGGGGTAGAAAAGGTTGACCTCAAAAGTAACATCCCACCTACCGCATGGTCGTCCAGTGCCGGCGGTATGGGTTCTTTCCGTCTGGGGTTAGAACAACTAAACCTCAAAACATCTCACAAAAGGCTGTGTACGACAGGTTTGAAGCAGATGTCCCATATTTTATGTGGTCAAAAACCTTTTGTTTTTCAGGTACCTTAAGAACAAATAACCTCCCAAGTAGCCGGGAAGTGTTAGCCGCCCGCCCACTTCTAGTAGTACACAAGACCCAATCAAATACACCCTATCTTTCTCAACTGTCTCCTCTTTTGCCTTCACCTCCTGACACTAGTGTTAAGAACCTTACTCCTTCCCCCCCCCCCAACCTCTCATTTTATCACCATTGCGAACGATCAAAGCCATCGAAACCCAATTCCTAGTCTCCCATGACCCTGCCATCGATTTCATGCAGAAGCCTTCAACATCCGAACTTTATGCCAAACTGGACAGCAAGCGCCGCTCGCCAGAACTCTGGAATCTATAGCTTTAAATATGTACTGCGCCTCTGAGACACGTATACAAGACTCAAGTGTGGTTATTAAATTGACCTCACTTGATTTTAGTCAATCTTCGAAATTCCCCTTGAGAGTATCTGGGGACCCCATGTCCTGCCATGTGGCGTCTGCCTAGTTTACTGGTCTCAGGAAGTAGGCGGTAGTAAAGACTGTCTATGGTCGATCGGAAGATGGGGAGGCCGAGTACGCATTTAGGGACAAGTTAGCTAAGCATTTACCTGAACATTACAGCAAGGATCATTCTGAGGAAGCCTGGCGTGATATCAAGTCTACTGCAGAAACAGCGGTAAAGACATTTGGTAACTTACATCCGAAGGTTAGCAAACGTGATTGGATTTCAGCGAAGTCATCCGAGGTGATTGGTACGAGAAGACTGATTTTTACTTGCTGTGACTATAGTGAAGAGCGAAAGAAACTTAAACGGAACTTGTGACCAACAGTCTTTGCAATGATCACAGGGAGTGGTGGGTGGTGACAGAGAGACGAAGAAATCAGCGTTGGGTAAAAATTGACAACTAGTTAGACTTATTAAGGATACCGACAAGAAGTTGATGGTGAGTAAAATCATTACCGTGAAGGATGGGACACTGACGACCTCCTAGAATGGGTGGCTGCCAGAACGTTGTACAGAAGACTTTGAAGCACAGTCCAACTGACCCACAGCAACCCTTCAGTTACCCAACATCCAGACTGAACCTGAGTGGGACGTAGGTGTCTATCCTCCAACTCTCCTTAAAGTTGAGAAAGCTATATTGAACCTGAAACAATGCAAAGCAGCAGGACCTAGCAGTTTGCCACCTGAAGTTTTCAAGAATGGGGATAGGAAATTGCTTACTAAAGTGACGGAGGTGCTAGGTGGTGTATGCAAATCTAAGGTGGTACTACCAAACGTGTTACTCCACTGATCACCCCAGTCGGTAAGAAGGGGGAGAAATCTTCTTGTGACAACCATAGAGGAATTAGTTCAATATTGTGTCCATGATCCTAGGGTCCGTAGTTATCCGACGCCCAACTGGAGCTCATGAACAGCAAACTCGAAAAAACTATGTAAGTTTCAGACAGAGATGGACGAGGTTGCATCGATCATATTTATACCTTCCTACAGGAACACAGATATACTTAAAGGCCAGTGGTCAACACTTGCTATATTTGTTGACCTGAAGGTACCGTTCCACTCTGTTGATTGTGAGGTACTGTAGCAGCGTCTCACCGAACAAGTATGTGATACTAATCAAAGCTCTCCACTCGAACCCACGCAGTCGTGCAAGGGTTTATGGAGTTGTCATGTGAATTGACGACAACTAGTGGTATCCACCAGGGATGCTTACTGTCGCCGTTCCTGCTTGACGTTTTTATAGATTTACTAATGAACATAATCATATGAAAGTCTGACGTCACGGGGATTGATCTAGTTGACTTTCATCTGGTTGACTTGGAGTATTATTATTTATTAGAACACGAATACGGTGCAGCAAAGGCAACAAGAAGTGCACCACACAAAATAATATAACACCATTGTGAAGACATAAACAATGGAAAGTGGATAAGTAAAAAAAACGACAATAAGAATAGGATGATTAGAAGGGTAGTCCAGTAGCATGCGTTTGAAACAAAACATTCATTACTTTTCAGCAGCAGGAGATAGAAGCAAGCAGTAGTATGACCGCCACTGGTTTCTATTCTGAGTCACATCCGTTAGCGTCACAAGCCACTGAGTGGTGTGATCTCTCGGACCCTACCCAGACAGTCGTGATGCACCCGTCAGATGCTAAACCAATACAACTATCCTTCATCCCACGGCGCCACGTCATACACTGACCGCTTCTCCGCTTCCACCCAGTTCCAGGGCTAGCAAACAATGAACAGTATGAAACCCGTTGAGTTGACATGCGTAACGCATATCCAAGCCACCGAAGCCGGTGTTTCCAGATGACTTCACTAATTGAATGACGATATCCATCATACCCAAACAATGGAGAAAGATGGTTGTAAGCCCTCACTCTACCGGGAAAGTTATTATGTAGCACTTTCAAGATCTTAATAAATTTCTCAGGCACGCCCCTCTCCAACAAACAGTTCCAGAGTACAGCTCTGTCCAAGGAATCAAAGGCAGCCCTAGTGCCAAAAAATATAACGATTGTCGGCCTGCAATACGTCTGGCGATGTTCAAGCATCCGGTGGAGGGTAAACACATGATCAATGCATCGACGACCTGAACGAAACCCGACCAGCTCCTCGCAAACCATTTTCTCATGTGTTTTGCGAAGTCCGTGAAGTATAATAGCAGCCAGTATTTTCTATACGACTGGTAACAGACTAATACCCCGATGATTGTCACATTCATAACGTAGACTTTTTGAAGGTGAGGACAACGATGGCTTCATTCCAGAGTCATAGAACACTCAGTCTGCCATACCTTCTCAAATATTCTAATCAGTTCCCTGACTAGAGTTGTTCCTCTATCCTTAAAAAGAGCTGGGGGTAAGTTGTTTGGGCTGGGTGCCTTGTGGCGTTTCAGAACCTAGATTTCCTAGGTGGGTCATCGTTAACTGGAGACGGAGCGCGGTACACTGAAGCTGACAATGCTGAAGCCGTGGACCAGCTAAACTGCTTTTCGAAGTGCTGCGCCCAGCGTTCCAGGCGTCTTTGAAGATTGTTTATTGGTGTATCATCTACCTCACAGACCGTCTCACTGACACCAGGCTTCCTACTGCCACTGACTCGGATGAGGTGAAACAGCTTCCGACTGTTGCCATATACAGCTGCTGCATCCATCTCACTCGCACGTTCTGACCACCAAACCTCACGGTCCTTGAGTAAGCTTTGTGTAATCTTTCATGTAAGAGACTTACGCAAACCATTCCACTTGCTGTTCACCGAAATGGTCCGAAGTTGTAGCGAGCTCGCAGAGACTCAGTGTTTATTGGCGGGATGTTCTTCTAAACCTTAAGCGGCTTTGCTCGCTATTCCCATAGCGTTTTGCAAGCGCAACCAATGTTCGTCTACACTTTCAGGAGAATCAGCAGCTAGCCTTAAATCTAGCTGGGAACGGTATTTAGTTGCAATGTTAGGTGCAAATGATTTGCTTGCATAGACCTGTTTGGGACGATGATTTTGATAACCACCAAAATGCAAGATGGGCTTAGCGCACACTAAGGCATGATTAGAGCCCAGATGCTTATGAAACATACTTTTCGAGTTGAAAGATAGGGAACTAATTCGAAGCGTTCACTGGGATCCTGTATGCGGGTCTCTGACATCCAGCATACATCAATAACGAGGCTTTCCAGAGTCCTAACCAAACCTGCCTGCTGTCCGGTCTGCATCAAGGTGCGAACGTTGAAGGTAGCGGGCTTAAACGGTATACGTGGTTTCAGGATAGCTTCTAGATGGCGCACTGGAGAACAGCTTTATGGGGACAACTGCTTAGCGATTCAAAATGGCACAGACAGACCAGAAGTCTAAATGGAGAACATCTGAGTGAAGTGAAGATAAGGACAAAAGCGAAAATGATAATAATAATAAGTTTAAGTTCACATGTAAAAACAACAAAAACAATATAACAGCAATAAATTGAGCAATCGATTGAAAAGTTTTCAGTGTGGAGAGCTTAAGTATTGGCAGAAGAGTTGGTTGATAGCTTCGAAATCTTCATTTTATATTATAAATTCATATCTTGTGTGAGGGCTGCGATACTCCTTGGGGGCCGAGATCAAGTCAGGTGGTTGTCTTAGGGGACCAGTCCCCGAACCTTTGACCTAAAGTCTAATCCACAAGGCAGCGGAGCAACATCAGGAGCTGCATTCCCATGGTTGCCTGTGACTAAAATAGGTTTATTTGCCATTCGTTTCATCTGGAACCTGGAGCCCATGAGCACCATTGGTTTGGAATCAGGATTTTCAAACTTTCCTAGGTTAACTCTCATTATCTACCAATCCGGTGATAAGCTCCAGGCATTCACTTGTGCCCCAGCCACGTTGAGACGACAAATACAACTTTTCTGGCAGAGACTGTGAAAGCATTCCAGGGCATTTGGGGGAGAATATGTTTGGCATGCCTTTCGCTGGCACTTGTAAAATGTAAGATGATGCTTCAGGACTAGTCTGCTGCAAGTACTCCCAGTTTAATGATAGAGGGTGAAGTGATAGACTGTGTCAACCACTTCACTTACTTGGGAAGCTGCATCAGCCCCCCCAAAGGGTCTGGATGCTGACGAAATCTCAGCTCGAATACAGATAATCCGTTTGGAATTGCCAACTTGCATCATCTGTGGCGCCGACTGGCGAAATATCTGACTATCACAGGAAAAGTATGCTGCACTGAAGTCCGTTCTGTTCTGTTTTACGGTTGTGAGACATGGCCATTATAAAGGAGAAGACATGAAGCGATTTCAGGGTTTCTATCGCAGATGTCTTCGTAGCGTTGCTAGTGTTTAGTGGAATCGCCATGTGAACAATGCTGAGGTCAGGCGAAGGATACTAGGCAAAAAAGCCAAGTCGACTGATGAGTTCGCAAACCTTAGTTGACTGAGATGGCCCGGGCATATACTGCGCATGCCGAACCACCAGTTACGTCGACGGGCCATGTTAGAGGGAGTTGTATTAGGTTGGAAGAGGGTTCGGGATGGTCAGACTAAGACGTGGCACCGGTCGATAAAGTCTCTTACTGTTGTTCTGAGTCGTGTGGGGCGATGTAGATTGCTTGGTCGGGGTCGCCGAGCTGAAAGGAATCAGTGGTTAAGGGCTGACTCTTGGTGAAGTGGTTGAAAACCGGTCTCGGTGCTGTAGATGTATTCACTCCTTGACATCTAAGGCTTGAATATCCGCACGGAGCGTTATCTCCAGACTGCTTATTCCCTCAAACAACTTTGTCTACTTTGATATCACTTTTTCTGTTCACCTGTTTTTCGTGTACTACTTTGATGTATGGCAAGTTGAGAAAATGGACCTGTGTGCGAGGTTTTACGTTGATTTTATCAATCAGTCATCATTATCGCAAACCCTAACAAAGTGCTGCTCAAAGCCTAGTACGTTGACATTCACCTTGTTGAATTGCATTACTTTTATATTATCAGTAATGTTTTCGGAAAGTGTTTACTTTGAAGCTGGGTGTTCATTTGACATCAGGATCGACGACAGGTGACAAGATGACACTTAACAATCATGTACAAGTTTGTGCACAAGCCAATGAACTACAGCGGTTACGTGACGGCTAATTATACTACCTGATTGTCAAAACCTTGGTAGGGAGGGTAGGGCTTACACTGGTAACCCACTTGTTGTAACTTGTGTACCTAAACCAGCTGGCGGTGTATCTATTAAAGTCGATGATAGGAAACTTCAATTGATGCTGCTAAAAATTCGCCGTTAGTCAGCAGATCCTGAAGTTGCTTTAAGAAATATCCATGGATGATGTTTCAGGACTATTAGTAAAACTAACGGGATTCACGTGTGAAATGGGAATCAACATAGTTTCCGTCGTTTATCTCTCAGTTTCTAACAAAGGATCAGAAGCCTCATGTAGTATCCATAAGAGAATTAGCTTGGGTGAATCCGTTTTAAAGATTGTAACGGTAGTAAGCATCGGATACCTAGTTGGTGCTCGAAAATGCCAATAACTTTTCCCTGTTAGCTTTGTGAATTAGATCGGCACTGTTAACGAGAAAAGATGTATCCTTTGGCTTTCTGATTGAATGCGTATTAGTTAGCAAGTTGGAGCTTAAACGATATGGTGTGGTTGAGTGAAATGTTCACCATACAAAATAATCAGTTGAATACGCTGTAAGCTGAGTAATTATCAAAAGACTGACAAATTACTTGTACCATATCGTTTTCGGTATCACATGAAAGGACTTATCAACGAAATGTAAAACACAAGACAGTGTGATCAGGTATTAATTGACAGTAATTTGAGGATTAGGATGTAGGTCAGTAGACAGTTAATAATTTCGTACCAACGTATGTAGAACAGCCTTTTTGTTTGACTGCTCTTCCCCGGGAAATGTGGGATCCCTTCTAGATAATAGCAAAGTGAGTGTGGTCAACATCCGTTACGCTTACGTGGATCTTCCCAAAAACTACTTCAGTCTAGTCTTCTAAACATTTCGGATAATGACATAGAAACCTTTGTAATCCATTTTTCCTCAAACACAAATTGCTTCAGGGATGGTCTAGTTCAGTTTAGCTGAACGACTTTTTGACTTATTCGATGAGTCTCACTCACTGACAAACTCTATACGGATACACATTGGTTGTTCAGTCAAGCCAACTGTCACAGAAAGCCCGAATTCGTTTTTACAAAGAATTACTGCTCTATTCCCTAACTAGCGATGAGATGTTATCATAGGTGAAAATATAATGCCAGCGGTATTCCGTTTGCAGGTAGTTATAAAGTTTTCCATTTCCATGGCTGGATTAATACTTGCAGTCAGAACTGGTTTCCACCCACTCTTAGTTTAATGATAGGGCTTAAAGTGGTGGAATGCGCTGAGCACTTTACTTACTTAGGGAGTTGCATCAGCTCAGCTGGGTTGTTGCTGATGAAATCTCAGCTGGGATGCGAAAGACCCATTTGGCATTTGCCAACTTACGCCATTTCGGGGTCAGATGAGATACCTATCAAAGGATGAATATACTGTGCAGCCATGCCTGCTGTCTTATTTCGCAACTGATGGCCGTTGAAAGCAGACATGAAGAGGTTACAGGCTCTTGACCATGGGTGCCTCCATAGCATTGCTCGTGTGTGTTGGAGTCGGTGTGTAAGCAATATCGATGTTTGACGGAGAGTACTAGGCAAGGAAGAAGGGAGGGCTATCGATGAGGTTGCGAACCTTCAGCAACTGAAGTTGCGTCAACATGGGTCACCATCTATCTCTACGTACGATGTTAACCGAATTAGGACTCGGTTCAAAGGAAGCTGTGGTCAGTCTCAGACAGCACCAGTGGATGACATCTCTTAATGTTTTGTTTGGATCCCCTAAGCTGGTGTCTCTACGTTGTTATAGTCTTCGAGAAGATAAAAATCAGTGGTTGGCGACCCTGGGTGACAGCTGAAAATCGGTGACAGTCGTTCAGGTGTATACACTCTTGTCATTTTTGATGTTCGCAATATTTTCACTAGGTTTCGTTTGTTTATCCTTGCTTTTCTCATCCACTTCTCTCTGATTGTGTCATCTTTTTTCTCCCTTGTATGCTACTATGAAGTGTGGAAACCTGAACTGATGCATTTCTGTGTTAGGTTCTATGTTGATTTGTCTGAATACAGCAACTTACTGAATTCCATAAACTAAGTAGTGGTTTATAATTAAAGCTGGTCAGTCGCACCCTTAATTCAGATGGTTTTACGCTGACTAGAATTGGAAGTGAAATACCTAAATCTTTAATTTGATGGCCAACATTTGACGAATATGCATGAGTTATTACACTGGATACAAGCAAGAGCAGAATAAGGTAACAAATGGGAAAATGTGAGTGAAAATAATATTAACAATAGTGGAAAAGCTGTAAAAAAAAAAAGAAAATATCGCTGCTTATTCACACAAATATGCTTACTTCAAAATAGCATGACTGCACATTTATATTGAAGTGTTTTCTGTTTCTCATGACATTTAGGAGGTGGTCGAGTTCTTCAGTCGAGATGTACATTATGTAATTACTAATCGACCATCGTCTCGATTAGCATCAGCTGCTCTTGGTGATGAATCGTTAAGTGCATCGCCTAAACAATCTGTTTCACTTCAAAACCAACTTTCTTCCACTCCCCAAGTTCCAAACAATTGCAAAGTTCCTATACTTACAGGAAGTAAGTCTGTAAATAGCCCTGTGACACGTGGTCGTGCTATGTTACTTGCTGCACGCAAAATTGCTACCGAGGATTTAAATTCTACATCTTCAGGTCGTACAGCATCCTCGGTACTAAACCAGGTAAATCTTTTGTCGTTTTGCGCTGCATAAAGTATCCTAGTTTTCTGAACTTTAGTAGGATCCACTCCTAACGATCTTTGTAGAGTTATGAGTCTGTATAAAGTATCATATCATATGTTTAACCGTAGTTTTTGGGCAGTTTTTTTTAAACTTCAATCAAAATCAAGGATGTATTCTGTGTTTATTGTTGTACTTTGTTGTCCGGAAAGGATTTCCTTTCCAAAATCATATATTTTCAGTTAGGTTATTCGAGACGATACAACTATATCCGGATTACAAAAAGAAGTAACAGTAGTCCTGTAAGAAGTGTTTTCGGTGGTTACGTTCAAAAATTAATGCAATGGCGAATATATACGACTTTTGGTGGCCATCTCCAGTGTATTAGATGATTACATTACCCTACTGATAACACCAGTACTAAGATTGTCATTAGATAATTAAAACTCTCATAAATATTGAAGATTAGTCGAAATATAGCAGAAATTATATAATGCTTATTAGGCTCTGATAAGAGATTGCGATATATGGTCAGTTGGTCAGTATCAACATGGGACCTGGAATTACTCCGTAACGATCGAAGCTGTCATATCTCTTATCAACACATCAAAGTAGAAGGCACCAAAGTGAAAGAGACATTGAGAAATAAGTCGTTTAAGTTGTAGAAAATTGTTATAGGAGAAGAAGGAGAAAAAGGAATGAAGCACTCATGAAATTTGGTGTGGCACTGGGCAAAAGTATAATATATGAATAAATCTGCGCCACTGCGATTGATTGTGGATCATATAACCTAGAGTCTTCAACCAACGATTTCTGTTGTCAAGTGAATTTCAATCGAGAAGTCTGCGTTTTCCTACGCGGCCCAAATCAACAGCCAAAGACTTCATGAACTGATGCCATGTTTTTGTCTGGGCAATGCTAACCCTTTTCTAGTCTAAACCTACTTCAACCAACATTGTACAATTAGACAGACGGTAACTAGGCATGCACAATACATTTTTTTGCTGTCCAAGTCGATGAAAGTTCAAAACCTCCCCGGCTGAATTTCCTCTTTTGCTCAAAACTACACTTTATTTCCAAGTTACTGAGTTGGTGGCAACACTGAAAGCGTTGTGTGGTCAAACACCTGATTCCTTCTCATATCCTCTTTCTCAAAGGCTATGTTTCGCAGGCAAGTAGTAAAACAGAGCGAACTGTCGCACAGAACAGTACTGCTGTCACATCTCCATCCATCCAACATTATCACTTCGTCTTTTGGCCACCCTTCATAGCGTAGTAATTTACGTTACAATGGTAACTGCTTTTTGTATTGCCACTATCTAACAGACCTTTCTGGTAAGGTAAGACTTCAAGGGCATAACTGTTCCCATCAGCATAAATTATTTGATCATTTTGACCGCTATGTCAATGTAGCAGCCATTGTGATTGGTTAACATGAAAGAAATTCACTTGTGTTCAAAAGAAGTTTAAAAACAGATATGAATGGAAGTTAAGTCAAATGCGGAAAAAATTGAAGACAGGAGTTATCTACAAAAACTGACTTCGTATACAGCCTATGAGAGTAGATAATGAGGTCGGAATTTTCTGTGTTGCTAGGTGACTAACGCCTTAGCTACGCAAGCAATACGGAGATATGTAGCCATCGAAAAATTTCTTTTCGCTTGACACATAAATTTGAGTTTCTAGTCCGTCGAAATCGAATAGCCTGTGTTAGCAATGTATTCATTTATACCACTTCTGATGCACCGATGATCACTGATTAGTCATTGGAGGGAAATCGATTTCATGTTGTCCAGTCTTACGTGCTAACCGAATTCTACCGGTTATTTTTTAATATAGATACCAGGCTAGGAGACTTAGCATCGTGGTCGAAGGCAATCGTTTAGTGGGGCTAAACCGAGGCTTTTTGTTTGTTGCCACTCGTCACCAAGGTGTGTCTGCAACCTTCAGGAGACTATTTATTATTATTACTATTAGTCCCTTGGGTTCCTAGTGGAACATAGGGCTTCAGTAGCACGCCTCCAGTGAACTCTGTTCTCTGAGATCTTTTGAACCTGGTCCCACGACAGCCCAGAAGCTCTCATTTCCTGCTCGCACGACCTCCTCCATGTCACCCTCGGACGTCCAACTCGTCGCTTCCCATGGGGATTCCACTCGAGCAACTGGCCTGACGCGTGATGTCCTCAGTCGGCCTTCTCAGTGCATGGCCAATCCATCTCCACTTCCTCCTGCATATTTGTTGCGTGATAGGTTCTTGGTTGGTTCGTTCCCAGAGTTCCTTGTTGCTTATTTTTTCTGGCCATCTGATCATCAGCAGCGAGCGTAAGCAGTTGTTGATGAATGTCTGTAGTTTATTGGAAATACCTTTCGTGACGCGCCAAGTCTCTGAACCATACAAGAGCACTGACTTGACTGGGTTGGTGTTGAAAATCCGTATCTTGTTCCGCATGCTGAGTGCAGAAGATCTCCACACTGGTTTCAGGCTAATGAACGCCTGTCTTGCTTTTCCGATTCTGACTTTGACGTCCTCGTCCGTGCCGCCTGTAGTTGAAACAGTGCTTCCTAGATAAGTGAAGGAGGTTACTTCCTTCAAGTTTCTCCCGTTGATGGTGATTGGAGTTTGTTGTTGTTGTTGATGGTGGTGGTGCGGTATCTTCATCACCTCTGTCTTCTCTATATTCACCTGAAGTCCCGTCTTAGCTGCCTCTTCTATCAACCTGTTAGTTTTTGCCTGCAGATCTTCAAGTTTATGTGACATTAGGCATAAGTCATCGGCGAAATCCAAGTCTTCTAGGTTCTTTTCCGTCGTCCAGTGTATCCCCCTCTTCTCGCTGCCTACTGTTTGCTGCATGATCCAGTCCACCACAATAAGGAATATCATGGGGGATAGTAGGCAACCTTGTTTCACTCCTGTCTTCACTTCAAAGGCATCACTGAGCTTCCCATTGTGGATTACTTGGCATGTGGCATCTTCATATAGTTGTTGAATGAGGCGGATGAAGGTTTGCGGTACTCCGTAGTATTGAAGCAGTTTCCAAATTACTTCTCGGTCGACGCTGTCAAAGGCCTTCTCAAAGTCGATGAAGTTCAGGTAGAGAGCTGATTGCTTGTTATTGCTGTGTTGGGTTGCTGTGAATGTTCTGTTCCACATGTGCCATCTACTAGCAAGTCATTCATGTTGGCGGCGACGAAAGGTAAACCATGAAGTACCTGATTTATTGTTCTTTGGAAGGTTTAGGCAGCATTCGCCAGATGAGACGGCATTAATATCTTCCTCATTATGGATAGTGTTAGTATCCGGATACAAGTCTGATGACCAATATAATGCGAATATAACATCATGAATAGCCGGCAGTACTGATACATCCGCACAGTAGCCTATCTACCAAAAAAGCTCGAGCAAGCGGCCGTGTATATCAATGGGGAATTACAAGTATCATAACAACAACTGTGATACACGTTGCACAAGAGGTGGCTATCGTGCTCCAGTGGCTTAGTAGATAACGCTCTGGCGTTTGAAGCGATGGGTATTGGGTTCGAGCCCCAGTGGGGACAACATTACTCACTGGGGTGCGGGTAAAAATCCAGCTGACGAGTCCCAAACGGGATGAAACGCGCGTCGTAGTTTCTTCTGCTAGTCACCAAGGTCAACGTAGCTAGAATAATCACTATCTATGAGCAGTAATATCATCTACAGGAAACACTCATCGTTGCTTCACGGATACTTAGAGCTGATAATGGAGTATTTTGAGAAGAATTTATGTGATAGTGAAGTTGAATGGAACTAATGAGGCGCACTCTTGTACACTCATTTAAGACTGTTCTGCATAATATCATTCATTTTTCTTAAGATAATCAAGGTCCTTACCGTATTATGTTTACTATCGTACATTATAAAAGGAGTCCTTATATGAAGAGTTGATAAGTAATCAAGATCTGGATGGCCTATTCTCGTTTGTGAAGTCTGTCTGATTCATTGACTGCTGCTGCATCATATACTTATTTATTATCCAATAATTATGTACTTCAAAACCAAAAATGTAACGAGTCAGGTTTATTCACGTATATTTTTCTCATCTACATACTCTTTTCTATACAGTTTGGTAGTAGGCCATTGAAATTTGTTTTTCTAGTATCAGAGTTCCAAGTACATCTATGTACACATATTTTTGACTGTTTTAAAAACTTTTCAAAATTTAGGTCCAGTTATCCAACGATACATCTACCTCTACACAATCTTCTCAAGTATCTTCTACATCGAATTTATTAGGATGTCAACGATTGAATTCGAATACTGATTTGTTGTTCAAAGCTCGTCAGTTGGGTATTAAAATTCTCACTATTGACAGTAAGTTTTAGTCATATCTCTAATTTGTATTATTTGTTTATGCTTAAATTAAAAGTATCAATGCATATAAATGGATCAGTTATGTGTGAACTGTAGTTCGTTTGTGTAGGCACTTCCGTTCCAACCAGTGGGTTCGAACACCATTCTGTCTGCTGAGGCTTCGACAGCGAGGTAGTATCCTTAGTCGTGATGTAATAAGTGTTGCTCGCTGCTTATTAGATTAACTTGGTTGCTGATTGCATTTCTCTATGAAATGGTGTCATCAACTACTACCGGTATATTGAATTTGAATGAACTCAACGAGTAGCAAAATCAACGTGGAACCTTGCACAGGAGTGCATCAGCTCAAGTTGCCACACTTCATAGAAGTAAGCAAAGAACAGGTGGATAGAAAAATATTGATAGCAAAGTAGATGAAGTAGTATGAGAGAATAAACAATCTAGAGATAAGGGTTTCCAGTTTCTTCTACCTTGGTACGTTTAGGTAACTGGTGGTTCGGCATGCACAGTACATGTTCGAGCCATCTCAGTCAACTAAGGTTTGCAACCTCATCAGTCGACTTGGCTGTCTTGTCTAATACTCTTCACCTGACCTCAACATTGTTCACATGGTGATTCCAGCAAACGTAAGCAATACTACGACTATCTGTGATCTAAACCCTGTAACTGTTTCATATCTCCTACTTTTAACAGCCCTGTCTCACAGCTATGCATCAGGAAAGAACGGATTGTAGCGCAATATACTCGTCCTTTGATTAGCAGCCGGATATCTCATCAGTCGGCGCCATAGGTGACTCATGTTGGCAAATGCCAAACGGACCTTGTGTATCCCAGCTGAGATTTCGTCAGCAACCAGCCCGTTCGGGCTGATGCAACTTCTCTAGTAAACGTAGTGGTTGACACATTCCACTACTTCACTCCCCATCAGTAAGCTGGGAGTTGTTGCAGACCAGTCCTGGATCATCATCTTACATTATTTGACAGGTCCCAACGAAACACATGCCAAACACCCACAGTTTTCTGTGAAGGTTACTGTATTTCAAGTTCATTGATCAAAAGTAATAATTAATGGAATAAATAGTTCAAGCAGATTGGCAGTAGCTGGAAAGTTTTCCGGACTGTTATTTAGATTACTGCAAAAAGCCTTTTTTAGTTAAGTATTCAGTATCAGTTCCTAATGTAAAAAGCGAAGTGCAGCTCGACTAACACATCCACGTTAGTCAATCTGTCAATATCCACATCACTGTTGTTCAAGTTACCAAACTTCACTTCGACTCAAGAAAATAAGATAAAAGATAAAGAGATGAAAGTCATATGAAGAAACGTTGTAAAATGTCGTGAGAGACTGAAGTTAGGGTGAAAGAAAGGTGAACTGTGACACGATGGCTAAGATGAAGATAATGCATGGGTGCATCTGTGTTACGGAGATCATTTCTGATCTACATCACCAAGAGTTTTCATCCACCAAGTTTGGTTGTCACAACAACCTTAATTTACAGGTTTAGATTTCCTTTCATGGCTGATACCAACAGCCGGAGACCGCGTGGATTGACGCCACCTTTTTATTTGACAAAAATGAGCTTCTTAGCTTAGCTATAACAGCTCACGTAACACGTCCCATGCACCTTAGTATATGAAACCTTACGACTTTGGCTTAAACGCCTCTTTTATCAAGCATTATGTTACGTGGAGCTTTGCCCATTGATTTAGGGAGATAATTTTCAACCTATATGTCACTGGTTCGAATACCGTTCCACCTACCGAGGTTTGCCCACACGAATGTGCACATGTTTGCTGAGTTTGATCAGATAAGATCATCAGACTATATGTTTCTCACTTGGAGGTTTCCACGATACATGATGTTCCCTACAGAGACGGTGTATATTGCCATTGAGAGGAATTGGCTAGAAGTGAAGTCAGTATTTTAAGTTATAGGTCGTTGACGCAAATTTCCCCGTGCTTCACAACTCTATTATCTATTTGAAGTATTCCTGTTGGATAGTTTAGCACTTTCTTAGGCCAGTCAGAATAAAAAAATATATATATAATCATTTGTTTTTCTACTATATTTCCATATATCTTGAATTGCAGTATCTTTAAATAACACTACTCTTTTATAAACATGAACAAAATAAGGACAAACCTATCAGACTGGTAAGAGTTCATTTATATTTCGGATTCTTTTTAACCACTCAAAACACTTAATGTGAAGTAATACAAGATTTTTTTTAAAAACAACACAATTCACATATACTTTCATGCACTTTGATACGGATGTATCTATCGACTAGTGTTGAAGAGTAATGATGGATAGTGGCTAACAGTAGAATCCAGGATGCGCATTTCGACCTATTTAGGACTAGTCAGCTGGTGGTACCTGCTTCCCAGTGAGTGATGTTGTTCCCACCGGGATTCGGACTCGGGAGCGGTCGCTTCAAACGCCAGCGCGTAATCCACTACACCACCGAGTCACGATAGCCACTTCTTGTGCGACGGGTATAGTTTTTACTATATGATTGTTTTTATATCATACCGTCGTTGATTGGACCTAGTTGGTCGGTCTCTATTGGCATATGGCATAGTGGATAACGCTCTGGCGTTTGGAACGATCGCTCCCGAGTCCGAATCCCGATGGGAACAACATCACTCACTGGGAAGCAGGTACCACCAGCTGAGGAGTCTCAAATAGGACTTAATGCGCATCCTGGATTCCACTGCTAGCCACCATCCATCATTAGTATCATAAGAGCATAGGTAATATTGAGGCATCCGCACAGGATCCATATGCCAATAGAGACCGATCAATCCGGTCCAGTCCACGACGGTATGATATAAAAACAATCATATACTGCTGATGTTGAAGAGTGATTAAAACTGGTAGAAGTTGATGAAGTTGTTTAGTAGTTTTGGAAACCTGGTGATTTATGGGATAATTTCGTGTAATTTTGTATACTTATACCAGCTTGAATATTGAAGTTATTAAGGGGATACAAAATTGACACTATACTTGTTTTTAGAATAGGTTGGTAGCAATTGTGTTTTTTGTATTTGACAGAAACTGACTTAACAAATTATGCAAACGTGTAATAAAACGCTTAGCAGATTTTCATGAATTTCAGAAAACAACTGAGAAAACGAGAGTAGATACTGAAATGTTTTTTATTTTAGTCTGTTTATTAGAAATATCACACAGTGGAGGAACAGTATCATTTACTGGATAACGTTCCGGACACAATTTATTGTCCATATTCATATCAGGTAACAGAAACAGAGTTTATATATTCCTAATTTTCTCTCCTTCTCTGTGATGACAAGGGTGGTAGAATCTTCCATATATCTGGGACAGATGCAGAACCATTTCGACTGCATATATTTCGTGTTGATTCGGTAAACAAAGATTCAGTTATCAATCTCTCTCTCCATCCAACTAAGTTAGTTTTTAACACTGTCACCTTATCCCACCCTATTGTGTGATTGTGTGTAATTGCGTGCACAGCTATAGCCGAGCTTTTCTCTAAATTTTTTGTGCTTTGTTATTCTAATCGACCCTGGTTGACTGTTTTGACCTATGTATTTGACCTCGGAATCATTATAAGGGATTTGGGAAACCAGATTATTTTGCTGAATTCCATCGATAGGATCTTTTAACCTACAAAGCTTGTTTGTAAGTGAGTTTGTTGGTTTGAATGCCACTTTAATCCCAGCCTTATTGATAATTCTTCGTAGTGCTTCTTAGGTGCCTTCCTTGTATGGTAACGCAGTAGAGGCTTTTGATTCTCTCTCAACCCTGCCACCATTATTACCATAAGTAGCAGTAGGATTATTATTACTAACACCTATATTATTCCTACTACTATCACTGTTAATATTTTTCTTTCGATTTCTTATGAATTTGTTTATCAATTTTGGTGGGTAGTTATGGAGACGCAAGGTATTCTTGATGTGTTTAATTTCTTGTAGTAGATTTTCTCGTCTACTGGTAAGCTTTTTCGTTCTATCACTTAGGCATTTGGCTGGCCTACTTTGACTGAGATGGGGTGAGATGATTTGAAGCCTAGGTGACGATTCGAACGGGAAGATTTCCTATAGACACTATTCTCTAAACTTCCGTCTTGTGTGCGTTTAATCTTGCAATCCAACATTGCTAACTCAACTTCACTTTTTAGGTCACAGGTAAATTGGATTGCTTTCACTACTGAATTATATATATGCCAAGAACCTATTGATGTGTTTCAATTTCAGTACTGTAAACGTATCATCTGCATATCGGAACCATATCTTTGGAGTAGGACCACCAGGGTTGCTTAGAATAACAGAGCATAAAACTTGCTTAAATCAAGATTAGTAGATCCTAATAAGATAAGGAGTTTAGAGAAAAGCTCGGCTATAGCTGTGCACGCAATTACACACAATCACACAATAGGGTGGGATAAGGTGACAGTGTTAAAAACTAACTTAGTTGGATGGAGAGAGAGATTGATAACTGAATCTTTGTTTACCGAATCAACACGAAATATATGCAGTCGAAATGGTTCTGCATCTGTCCCAGATATATGGAAGATTCTACCACCCTTGTCATCACAGAGAAGGAGAGAAAATTAGGAATATATAAACTCTGTTTCTGTTACCTGATATGAATATGGACAATAAATTGTGTCCGGAACGTTATCCAGTAAATGATACTGTTCCTCCACTGTGTGATATTTCTAATAAACAGACTAAAATGAAATTACAATCGACCATAGTGCCCAAGTTTTACTCCTATATTACTGAAATGTTTTCTGAGCGAAAATCAAATTGTATACTTATGCGATTACAAGTTTACATTTTGAAGTTACTATTATTATTTTTCGCTTGGGTTGCTAGTAGAACATAGGGCTTCAGTAGCACGCCTCCATTGCACTCTCTTCTCTGCAGTCTTTTCAACCTGTCTACACGACTGCCCACAAGCTTTTATTTCTTCCTCACATTAATTCCTTCATGTCACCCTCGGACACCGAACTCATCGTTTCCCCCTTGGATTCCACTCGAGGGCCTGGCCTGACGCATGATGTCCCCAGCCGGCCTTCTCAGTGTATGCCCAATCCAGTGCATCTCCACTTCCTTCTGCATATTTGTTGGGTGATAGGTTTTTGGTTGGTTCGTTGCCAGGCTAGAGTGAGTTCCTTGTTGCTTATTCCTACTATTCTGGCCACCTGATCTTCAGTATCGAGTGAGTCTAGGGGGCAGCTGTTGATGAATGTCTGTAGTTTGTTGGAAATGCTTTTCCTGACACGTCAAGCCTCTGAACCATATAGAAGCACTGACTTGACGTTGGTGTTGAAAATTCTGATCTTGTTGTTTGTGCTGAGTGCAGTAGATCTCCACACTGATTTCAGATTAGTGAAAGCCTGTCGTGCTGTGTTTCCGACCCTGGTTTTGACATCCTCGTCTGTGCCGCCGCCTGTAGTTGGAAAGATGCTGCCTAGGTAGGTGAAAGAGACAACTTCCTTTAGGTTTCTGCCGTTGATGATGATTGGTGCTTGTTGATGCTGTTATTGGTTGGGTATCTTCATCACCTGTATCTTCTCTACATTCACTTGATGTCACGTTTTCGTTGCCTTGCCTCTTCTGTCAACTTGTTACTTTTTGCCTGTAGATCTTCGAGTTTGTGCGACACTAGACGTAAATCATCATAGGTGGCGAAATGCAAATCTATGATCTTTTCATCGGTCAACACAGTGTATGCCCATCTTCTCGCTCCTCACAGCTTGTTGCATGATCCAGTCCAGTCAACCACAATCAGAAAGATCATGGGTGATAGTAGGCGGCAGCCTTGTCTTACTCCTGTCTTCGCTTCAAAAGCATCACTGAGCTTTCCATTGTAGATCGCTTGGCATGTGGCATCTTCATATAGCTGTTGAATGGGGTGGCATTCCGTAGTATTGAACCAGCTGCCTGGCGAATTACTCCTCGGTCGACGCTGTCGAAGGCCTTTTCAAAGTCGATGAAATTGAGGTAGAGAGTTGACTGCCATCCTATACTCTGTTTTATGATGATGCTTAGTGTAGCGTTGCAGTTTGGTCCGCACATGATTTGTTCTTCCTGAATCCAGCCTGTTTTTTTCGTAATTTTGAATCCAGCTCATCCTTTAGTCTCTCCAAGATGATACGGAATAATATTTTGCTTGAGGTGGACAGCAACATGATTCATCGTCAGTTCTTGCAAAGGCTTGTGTCTCCCTTCTTCGGGAGTTTGACGTGGTGGCCCTTTTTCCAATCGACCGACAAGTATTTTTCTTTCCTTCCTTCCAAACCTACTGCAGTAGTGGTATGAGCGTGTCCGCTGTTGTCTCTGCATCTGTTTGCAGTGCTTCTGGCGGAATTCCATCTAGTCCTTCTGCTTTCCCGGATTTCAGCATTTTTATGGCATTCAGGACTTCTGCTTTTATCGGAGTGCCTGTGTTCACCTGTAGTTCTGACGTTGCTGGTGGTATTTCCGGACGAGTTGCAGGTGGTGATCGACTCAGGGGTTTTTTGAAGTGGTCAGCCCATCATTTCCTTTGTTTCTCCTCTTTGGCAGCTAGGTCACCTTCACTATCTTTCATTGGTTTCGTCTGTATTGATCTCTTCCCTTCCAGATAGTAACCTGGTTATTTGATACAATGTTGTCAGATCTCTCCTACCGGCAGCCTGTTCTGCTTCACTTGTCAGTTTGTTGTAGAAGTGGCTTTTGTCTTTCCCTGCATTCTTCTTCACTTCTTTGCCAAGTGTTTTATACGTTGTACTCAGTTCTTCTTTTCGCTGCTCATCGTTGCACTGGTTCATCTGCTTCGCCATCTTCCTCTCCTCCTCTATCAGCTTCCATGTATTCGTGGAGATTCATTCATTGTCTTATTTCCTCTTCCTTCTTTACACGGTTATTCAGGTTTCTTTCCATATAGCTTTCAAAGAATTCCAGCGTTCTTCCATTAAGTTTTCCTCAGGGATGTTGCTCAATGTCTGCCATTTTGTTCTGATGGTTGACGTGAAGATGTCGTTTGTAGTTTTCTCCTTCAGTTTCTGGGTGTTGAACTTGAACTGTTGTCTATCACCAACTTCTTTCAAGGCTTTCAACTTGATTTGGAAGGTTCCTTGCATTCGATAGTGGTCTGAGCCTACATCTGCTCCCCTTATTGACCTTGTGTCCAGTAGGCTGCGTCTCCACTCTCTTCACATTGAGATGAATTCGATCTGACTTTTAGTGTGTCCTGGTGTCTGGTGAAATCCATGTCGCTCGCTTTGTGGATACCCTTGTGCTTGAACACACTGCCTGGCCTCCAATCACCAAATCATTGAATGCACAGAAATCTGCAAACAGTTCTCCAATCCGATTCATCATTTCACCGAGTACTTCTCGACTCATGATGAGTTCTCTTCCTGTGTTGTCTTCTCCCAGTTTTGCATTTATGTCGCCCATTAGAATGAATTTTGATGTCTTCAACTGGAGTCTTGTCTAGTACTGATTTCAGTTGTCTATAGAATTCCTCCTCTTGATCTGCATTATTTGTTGGCGTGTAACATTGAATGATTTTGACTTTGCTTACTTTTGACTTGAATCTTGCTGTCATGATCCTGATTGTGGAGGAGACTGGTTCCCACTGCATGAGAGCCTTCGATGTTCTTGGGGAAATCACGACAGCCACTCAAAACTCAGTGCGCTGGCGGTTGTCGTCTGGGTGACAATATCGGAGTAGATTGTTGACTCTCCAGTTAAGAGTTTGGAGAGTCCACTCCCATTCCATCTGCTTCGCAGATTCTAAGCACTTCCACGCCATACCTTCTCATCTATTTGCAATCTGGGAAGCCTTGGTAGGTTCATACATGGTGCGGACATTTCATGTCCTCATCCTTACTTTCGCTTTTATCAAGGGATTGAGAACACATTGGCCAACTGGCTTCCCGGAGGCTTTCACCAACCGGCGTCATTTCGTCTCTTCGATTCCAGAGAGGAATAATTTTTGTAAATTTTTTTTGTTTTCTTTGTACTTTGAAGTTTCTTTAGCGATTGGATTGGTTTTCCGGGGTAGGGTTGCTAGCTCAATGTCCAACCTTCCCTCTTTACCCGGGCTTAGGGCCGGCTAGTAACTAGTGAACTTGTTAACCAGGCGAGGTTATTGAAGGGAATAGAAATTTGACACTGTACTTGTTTTTAAATGCAACGGTGGGGGTTTCTTCCGTCTGTTTGTTTGAAAAGCCTCTGCATGATGCAAAATATTCCATTCCATGTTATATTTATTACTGTGAGTGATTTTGATGTAAAAGTACGATGTTCATTATTGATCAAATGTTGAGTGATTGGGTCATTCTGTAAGTTTCGGAATCTAAAATCCCAACCTTTTATTTCTCTCCTTCGGAGTGTTTATTGAACTATTCTGTAAGTAGTCAACTTTCGAACACTCTTAACGATTACTGTACAGCACTCACCTTTAATCTCAATCACTATGTCCATGTTAGTTGGATGATGGTATGTGTAAAGCGTCTTTTTAAATCATGTATGTTGTGCTTAACTTAGTTATGATTAATTACTCATTCTTCTAGTGAAAGACTAGTTGTTACTGTTCAATATTTTCAGCAGTCGGTGAAGCATACAAGAGAGAAACAGAGGGGACAGCAAATGTTACATTAGGGGTTAGTTGGAGTTAACGCATCTCGTATCGGTATTTGTCTCTTAACTTACCGAATAATTCCACTCTTGAATGTTTGATTCAACGCTGTGAACTTCCTATCCGAAAAACCCTTTTTGACACACACACACACACACACACACACACACCTCTTGAATATTTCAGCTTAAAATTGTCAAATTCCTGCCTAACTTTCGTTTCATATTACATGGTTCAGACTAACCGATGTTCCTATTTTGTGTGACCTCTCTATAATATATATGACACTATATCATTTTCGGCAGTGACTATTGCAAGTCACTGACCATGTACAGATTGGTGTAATGGTTTATAGGTCGACGTCTTTGTGTATGAGCTGTTCAAACTCTTCATCGGCGCATAATTATGGCGCTTTGAATTGGGATTGAATAGTGTTTAGTTACCTAAGCCATTCATAAATGTATTAATGTATTTAACGCACTGAATTTTATGCAAAGCCTTAAGACACTTATTTTCCACGGGTAAACTAGGAGGGATGAGGTTAAAACCCTAAATCCAGAGTATTGAACCACAGCTACAAACAATTCGTTCAAAACGAGCTTTAGTCGTAAAGATTTCCTAGGTTTCGTTGACACTGATAACTATAAAAAAAAAAAGGTGCTAATTTAGTTTGAATCGTCGGGCCTATAGGAAAGGCATCAGAATAGCTAACTAACTTTCAGTGGACTGGAAGGAATAGAGATTTAAAATATCATGGAAGTGCTTTAGTGATTTCAGTTAACCTGACGCTAAACGTGTTTATTGTCTCAAATTCACCGTCATATCAAATCAGTTTAAATGTTCTCCTTTTTTCAGGATTTCACATAACGGGAAAGAATTCATTCACTTTGGAAACAAATTGTCATTTATTGTCGAATTTACCTTTAAACACCAAACTTTATTCTTAGAATATTTGCTTATTGTAACCGTGATAATCTGTTTTGTCTTTTTAAAGTACACAGTTCTTTAAAATTATTATTTTCCCCCTTACATTTTCCCCATCTTTTTTAGCTGTAACAAAATGGATCAAAAATCTCCCCTCAGATGTCCAGTCGTTTATTCAGGTATTCTTCTTTTGTTTTACAACATACTGAAGTAGAAAACACTGGTTATGATCTCATTTGGAGAACCATTGAAAACCTTGTAGCACTGCACAGTTATTTCTCTCTAGTTTTTCACTCTTCAGCAGTACGCACCCAGGACCTTCAGGTTTCACGGCGAATGTGCTAACCATTCAGCCACTGGTTCGGAGCGCAGTGGTCCACAGTTTCCTAATTCTGTCAGTTCGTGATATAGCACTACTATCTATCAAAGTCTTCAGCTGAAGCCTAGTTCATCAGCAATATCTATCCTAATTAGGCAAACATTTCTCCGGTCCATAATGAAAAATCCTTGAAATCCATCGATTGCCCACAAACACCTCCAAACAGTATGAAAATATGATTTTTATTGATGACTTGCTTCTATATGAACTTTCTGAAGTTCTAGTGCGAACTCGTGTCGCGTGGAATCAACCAAGTCGTGTACCAGGACGAGTAATAGTCAATGATATATGGGCATAGTTACACTATAACACGCAACCCACAGAATTAGGAAAACTTGGAAAGTTGAATTTCGATCTATTAACTGAGTAGTAACTTGTTTATCGTAAGATCTGAAGGTTCTTGGTTCGACTTCTCGTAGTATTAAGGCTGCGCATTGCTGAACAGTCTCATTTTAAGACAAAACAGCTATCCATTCCTGCCAGGTTTTCAACGGTTCTCCAACTGATATCGATGCGTCATGTAAATTCATCAAAATCAATCGATTCCTCACAAACCTCCAAATCAAATCTGGAATGTGGTTTTACAAAATTGTTGATGAGTATCCATTTTTCAACTATGGTTGTTTTATGATAATAATTTTCCGATTGTAAGCAACCTTTATTGTCCAACCTCTTGTATAATTATCGTATCGCTTTGAATGAAATCACATTTATGCTAACGTACACAATCTATCGTTTTTAACATTAGTCTTGCCAACATTGTAGCCACTTAGGTTGATAAAAAAAAAAGCGTATGACTGTATGAACTGTTGATGCGAACTGTGCAGTTTGTAAACGCTTGACTATCCACTTCATATGATCTCATTTTCTTCCCAAAGTTTCATTTGATTCAATATGTATTCAATACTAATAGCATATTGGTTCTATGATCTTAGTGCACTTTACTATTACTGACAAGTTTACATTCTTAACTTGGTAACATTGACACTTATTCTACTTTTTTATATGTTGTACTTATTATTTCGTGATTTGTCATTCATTCGCATCGACTTTAATTCTCACCAGTACAATTAACCAACGAAAAACAGAAATGTATTCAGTCTTCATTATCTTACTTGAAAGATTTCAAAATTTTTATCAACTTTTGTTTTCATCTGCCAATATTCTCATCTATGTTATACACCCTTTCGTCTAAATTAATACCAGTAATTATATTCACTTTCTTCTTTCTGTGCTGTCGCAAGTTTTGGCGCCCCAAACTAAATGGACTTCTTTCTTAAGTACTAGTTTGGTTTTCCTATGTACTTGTGTGATCTTATGTTTAGAAAGTTAATTTCGTTCACCATCATCTCATCTTCAATAAGTCAGTCGGTTACTGACTAAAGCATGGCATCTTTCCTTGAAATATGAGCATCTTTGCCAACTTGCATCATGAATGGTGAGATATCCGACTATCTGTCAAAGGACGAGTATACTATTCTGCAGTTTGCTCTGTCCTGTTGTACAGGTGTGGGACATGATCGTTAACAATAGAAGTAAAAGAGAAAGCGGTTACAGAATTTTGACCGCAGATGTCTTCGTAGCATTGCTAGCGTTTGGTGGAATCACCATGTCTACAATGTTGACGTCAGGCGAAGAGTACTAAACAAGACAGATAAGTCGATTAATGTCGTTGTGAACCTTAGTCAACTGAGATGACTTGCACATGTGCTGCGCATACTAAACCACAGCCTATCTCGATGTACTACAGTAGGGAAACCTGGACTAGGTTGACAGAGGGTTCAAAGTGACTAATCGATGAAGTCCCTGACTGTTGGTATTGGTCTGAGTCGTGTATGGCAATGTGAAATGTATGGTTGGGGTCACCTAGATTATAGGAATCAAAGGTTGAGGAGTCTTGGCAACATAACTGAAAATTGGTGACAGTGGCGTAGATGTATGCACTCCTTGACATATTCTACACGTTGAAATATTTCCACTCTCCCTTATCTTCGAATTGTTTATTCTCTCACACAACCTCGTCTACTTTGATATCACTCTTTTTCTACCAACTTGTTCTTTGTTCACCACTGTAATGTGTGGCAAGTTAAGGTGTAGATGTATCTGCGCCACTGTGACGAATTCTGATTCATGTCATTTAGAGTCTCCAATCATCAGTTCAGGTTATCATAACCTCATCCTACCAACCTAGATTCTTATACCCAACCATAGGGATGTGACTTATTGGTCTGGATACTTGATTGATCTCGACTTCGAAACGCACTTCCCCTTACCGAGGTCTGGACACCCAAGTAGTATTGTAAGCCCCCTTATACAGCAGGTGTTACTGTCTGCTGCATGAAAGTGCATGTGGTTGCTAAATGCACTCTGTGTGCACAACTCAGACCAATAGCGAGGAATTTAATGGATTGATGGGACGATGTCAGACTGACGTGGTAGTCCCACGACATGGTCTGTGTTACGAAGTCAATGGTGTTCGAACGCACAACTATTTAACTTCCTCCACCTTTAATCACGCTATCACACTCATAAAGTGGGAAGGAGCATCATACCATGCAGTACACAATCATTCATAAGTAATTGGTTTTCCTACTAGCGCCATAAATATCCTAGACTGACGAAAGCTAAGCGAACCTGTTGTATCCTTGGGAAGATCTGGCTAGTCACTGACCCATTATTGTTGATTCGATTTCCCAAGTAGGTTAAGTGGTCAGCACGCTCAACTACACTTTATAACGTTCTACAAGGCGCCAACACATGCTGGTTATGGAGCAACAAACGGCATTTTGGTGATGAAAATAAATCAAAAACATTTTCGAATTTCCGCTTAAAGTGCATCTTGTCAGCATCTTCATCCAACAGGACTACGTTGTCTATGTGCTCTACGTCTACTAAGCAGTTCCATCATAATCATATATATCACAATGAAACGGTATTATGTACTGATGATGTTTCGAGCAGAATTTATTGTTGATTATCATATCCTGGTATATATTACTTTTTCATTGTGATACACGTATATGAAAAGAAATAAAGTGGAGTTATGCTCTACTATAGTGCCCAAATTGTTTCCTCTGATTAATGATACTAAGGAGTCGATCTCCTGTGATAAGATCAAAATTCTGCTAGGTCAGATAGTGGTAAAGAAATGTAAAGAATGAACATTCCTGACAGACGTCACTCAACATATACAACTATCCTCATAATTCTCCATAACCTCCAACACACCCGCCAATGTTGTAATATACTGCATTCAATGGTGTGATGTACTTAAGTGACACCAATTTCAATTATGGACACTACCATAAGATCTCTTGATTGACAGAGTCAAGTGTCGTCTACAGATCAAAAGGCAGCTAGTGTCACGTACCAGTAAGTGTGTCTGTGCTCCATAGTTTGATGGATGGTTGAGATGTATTTGATTCACCCAAGACCATGTCTGAAACCCACCTGGTTACTTCGGATTCACTATTCCCTAGCTCCGTCTGGGCTACTGGTGATTATAGAGCCTAGAATATTACACACAGTGTTCGTCAGACTGAATCATCTATGCTTATGAAAGTAGAATTTCTCTACTCTCTGAAAGACAGACAATCAGTGAGTGCGACCAGTCAGGGAAAATCGCATATGTTTCTCAGATGTTGGCTAACACTGCAGTCAGGCTAACCAGTATTCATCGACCACCATCTGTATGGAACTCTTGAGCTATTTAATCGATCGAAGGTAACTTCCCACCCTCATCTCGTCTCAGCTTATTTACAGCCTTCTGAAATTCATTAAGAGTTCGAGGTCATACAATTACGCATCATTCAGACTCCTTCCGGATAGCTGATACTGGTTCCGTATGCCAATGTTCACCATTGTGTTGAACTTGGTAAACGCCACTTCACAAAATTCCTTTCTTTATATCTGAAATTTGTACTGGCTATAGAAGTAGTTGGTTTTTGGATTGCAGTTGTAGCAGGAAGTCATCCGTTTAGACCAAATTGTGATCACTGTCCAGGCGCTCTCACCAGATTCAACGGCAATCAACGTGGGAGTATACGGTTTAGTCGGTTCATGTATCATTATTTGCTGGGCGTTTTGAATTTCTTTCCAAACTGAAAATGGTCAGTGTGTCGTTCTTTTTAGTCATCTAGAGTGTAGTCCATCGTAGATGTATCTAATCGTAAGAAGCTTTTACAGCATTTTAAACATATGAAAATAAATTACTCAAGATATATTCATTATGTCGGCATTGTTATCTTTCTTGTGAATACGTTTTAATGACTTACTGACTAGCTAACATTACACCGGCAGCAGTGGATCTATGGCTCACTGATTTAGGAAGCCTCGTTCGAGGTTTAAGCAGCCAGGCTGTATAATTAGACGTCAGACAAAGTAGGTGTGGCTCATTGCCTACTGCACAAGGTTGCTTGAATGCATTTTGATTCGGTCGATATTAACTGCAGTTCAGTTTTTCCATGTTACAGTCGTCACATTTCCCAGCTGTTGTCTCTGATACTGACTTGTTGTATTTTATGTTATCTTACAGTCTTCACAACGAGCAGACAACGAAGATCATCTTGATGAATTGACCAACGATCCAGAGCGTGACAGGATTCATGAAGGTAATTCACTTCTTCATTGTTGTCTGGATACATATTTCTTTCAGTACAGAATTTCTTAGTAGCCTTTTTTTCCTCATAAACTTATGTTCATCATCTGGAAAAGATGTATTGGTTTCTGTACCGGTTTATAGAGAGGGTAGTTTGTTTCTCAAATGGAAAATTCGAATTCAATCAATGGTTATCGATATGTGTGTGTGATGCACCCTAAATAAAAGTGACAGATAAACAGTCTAGGAGTTAGCACAATTTTTTTCGGTACCAGTTATCACATTTCATTTCAGCAGCGTATGAGGGGTGGGGTGGGGTGAGATTAACTTCAGAAAGAATGAAACAGCGAAAATAATATCACTATTCAGCTTAGTTCTTCATCACAGGCTGACATCGGTTGGAAAACCATTGAAAACAAGTTAGTAATGGACGGCTTTTTCGGTTTAGTTTGAGATTTCCATGTCCTTCACACCCCGTAGTTCTTGAGGAATGAAGTCCAGCACAGTTAAGTTTCATGGCGAGCATGCTACGACCCAACCATTTGTTCAGTTTATAGCATGGCCCAACAATCAGTGACATAAGAGCTGCAGAAAAGGGAAACATTGGATTTCAATGCGACACACTTGGCTACCTTATGCACATTCATGTAGTAGGCAATGAGCCACACTTAATATGTAAGGGATAGTGATAATACTTAGCTGCTCAAATCTTGGTAGATAGAGCGGGACTTAAACCCATGACCCAATTGTTGAAAGTCATCTTCCTAGACCACTGAGCCATAGCTTGATTTTAATGCACTTTGTCTTTAGATTAGAGAATAAAAATAGCTTCGTATTTTGTAAAAATTTTGATAAAATCTCTATCGGCAGCATCGGAGTCATCTAGATCGATGGATCAACTGGTCTTTCCCTCCAATGAGTAAGCAGTATCACTTGAGATACTGCTTTTCCTTGAAGGATATCACACTACTTTGATATCTCAGTGCAGTTAACACAGCAGCACTTCATCCTGCATGTACAAAACTGTAGTATGTTAGATGAAGTGGGAGTGAGTTGAAGGAACAGACAAACAGATAGAATCAACGTAAACCTTCGCATATAAGTGCATCGGTTCAACTTGCCATACATTACGGTGGTGAACAAAGAACAAGTTGGTAGAAAAAGAGTGATATCAAAGTAGACGAGGTTGTGTGAGAGAATAAACAATTCGAAGATAAGGGAGAGTGGAAATATTTCAACGTGTAGAATATGTCAAGGAGTGCATACATCTACGCCACTGTCACCAATTTTCAGTTATGTTGCCAAGACTCCTCAACCTTTGATTCCTATAATCTAGGTGACCCCAACCATACATTTCACATTGCCATACACGACTCAGACCAATACCAACAGTCAGGGACTTCATCGATTAGTCACTTTGAACCCTCTGTCAACCTAGTCCAGGTTTCCCTACTGTAGTACATCGAGATAGGCTGTGGTTTAGTATGCGCAGCACATGTGCAAGTCATCTCAGTTGACTAAGGTTCACAACGACATTAATCGACTTATCTGTCTTGTTTAGTACTCTTCGCCTGACGTCAACATTGTAGACATGGTGATTCCACCAAACGCAAGCAGTGCGATGAAGACACCTGTGGTCGCAACAGATTTCAAACGGGCCTTCTGTATCCTAGCTGAGCTGAAGACAACTATAGTTGACCGGACACCACCAACCAAATATATCTGTAGTTGGCGGTCTATATCGTGTAGGATTTTTTGCGAAGACCCGCCAGATAACCCAAATCGATATTTATTGACCAGGTAATGTTTCTGATTTACAATGGTGTAGATGTATTCATGTATAATCTCCATCTAAATCTTGAATATACTGCTAATGATTATGATGGTATGTGTCTTTGTTCTTCGGACTGCTTTTTTTCGACCTCTCACTTTTTTCTTACATCTGTTGAAATCTTTCTTTACACTATCTTATCTTTTCTTTCGGTGATTTTTTCGTATTTGTGTGATGTACGACTACTCTAGATCTGTTTCCAAATGACTTTGTGCTTCCATATTAGATTGTTTATTTGATTGATGTAGCACACAGTATAATTTGCTGGATGACGTTTTAAGCTGAATTTATTGCTCATATTCATATCAAAGTAATCAACCACTTCCCATTTTTCTTTATTGAGTCAAATGGTTCTTCATTGTTTTATCTTAAGCGTAGTAAAATTTTCCAGATATGTGCAATATTGATGAGTCATTCCTGTTACATGTGTGGGGTGTGGATTCAATGAACAAAGATTCTATGAGATCAATCTCTCCCTCCATCTAGCTGTATTGGATGTTAGAACTACTACCCTATCCCACCTTATAGTGTGATTCGGAGTCATTGCATTCAGAGCGATAGCTGAGTTTTTCTCTAAATTACTCATCTTAATAATGCTAGCCCCTGTATGTTTTGCTAAATGTTTGTATTCTGCTATTCTGACTAATCCAGATCGGTTACTTTGAATTTCGTAATTATTAAATTCATTTTCTACATAGTCGTAGCCATATATTTCAATCTCATTTGTCAAATTCTATACAAATTTTCCCACTCAGTAAGTCCTGTTGATAACAGTAGATGATATTACACGGTTTAACTTTGCCAATTTATTCCCTAATTCCAGTTCGACATCTTGTGAATCCATGCATCAAGGTGATTGACACAAAAAATCACTATAGACCTATTTATCTGGACAAGACAGACTACTTACCTGATCTATGGAATACAGTTAATCGTTATAAATCAAAATCAAAATCTGCTCTTGAAGTCGGTATACAAGATTGTCCATCATCGCCTATGCCTATCACAACAACTGCTATTATCACGACGACCACTACGGCAGCTATGGCTGGATGCAGTGGGAGTGTACCAGGTGCAAGTGTTGGCTTCACCTTCCAGAACCCAAGTCATCATATCCCTGGAACAGGCCCACAGTCAGTTTTAACGCGTAAAGACAGCCGTGCAAAGCGAAAACATCGTCTTCAGAAACACAACACTGGTACTCCATTGCAACGTACAGCCTCCTTAGCAAATAAAGGAACAGAAAGGTAAATAATATTATGCTTATGATTATTACTGACACATGGTTGTGCAATTTAGTGTATGGTAAGTGCTAGAGCACTTGTAAATCGGGTAATGAAACACATAATACTTTGTCAGTTAAAGCCAGTTCTACTTAATGTGTGAATATCAATTCAGATCGTCTATCGACTCTTGATAACCACTTATAAGATGGTCAAACATGTATTCTTGTTTACTACTCTGCGTAATACCAGTTTATTCAGTAATCTGCATATGCATCTGCATGCAAATCTGACTCGGTTAAGATGTGCACTACCCATCTTAGTGTAGGAAGTCTAGCAGGATATCGTTATCCGTCATCTCACCTGTGTGTCGATGAAACTCTAATTAAGTGTATATGTGTTCACTATGCATGTATACATGATAACTTGACCCTTATATGAAATCAGACTCACAGTAGTTAATACTTTACTTTTATATGTTTGTCAAAATGGTGACACTTGCAAAATTCTACAGTTTACTTTACATGAGCACACCAGTCTTATTCTTATCACATATCAATTTTTACAAGCTCTATCACATGTTCAGTTACAGTCATCCTTAAGTATGTTTGGAATATGTCTCGCACCTGTCAGTTGTAAGACGATACTCCAGGACTTGTAGGATGTTCCGACCATTTCACCTACTTGAGTAGTTGGATCAGCCCGAACCAGCTAGTTGCTGACGCAATCTCAGCTGGGATACACAAGGCCCGTTTGTCATTTGCCAACCTGCATCATTTATGGTACCGAATGGTGAGATATCCAGATATCTATCAAGAGATGAGTATACTATGCTGCAGTCCGTTCTGACCTGTTGTACATGTGTAAGACGTGGTCGTTAAAAGCAGAAGAAGAAGTTACAAGGTTTTGTTCACAGATATCTTCGTAACATTACTCGCATTTGGTAGAATCGTCATTTGAACAACGTTATCGTCTGGCGAAGTTTACTAGGCAAAACAGGCAAGTCGACTGACGAGATTATGAACGTTAGTCCTCTGAGATGGCTTGAAGATACACTGCGCATGCCGAGTCACTGCCTATCTTGACATGTCATGCTAGGAGAAGTTGGATCAGATAGGAAGAGGTTTCATTCATTCAGTCAGTTGTCTGTGCTACCTTCTTGTAATAATCAGACATTTTATCTTTGATACGCTAAATCAGTATCTCAGTTTACTTACCTTTAGTGCAGTTCAGTAGAAAATCTGTTTGCTAGAGTTTGCGTTGAGTGGAACGAGAGATTTTTAGTGAAGTTTTTCCATGGAAGACATCTATTTGAACAAACAATATCCTTTTCAGTAACTTCTTTGTCACGTTCTGCAACCATGTTTTCATACTGTGTAATTTTGGGTTAACAATAATAAGATTATTCTATAATAATCGTTCGTCAATAGTACAGTTTAGGAATTCTTTCCAGAGAGAAGTCTTATGTGATACTCACTGAATTATATTGCTGTGTAGGGCGAATCATTTCCACAATGACAAAAAATAGTGATACTTCATGGTTGATACAGGGTTAGGAAAACCCACGACACACTGGTTGGTTTAAAAAAACCATTCAAAAAACCTATTCTACAATGTATCTCCCATGAGTAGGTTTACATTACATCATAATTCAAAGGTAAATGATTGAGCTTTATTTCCAAAGTATCAGCCGTAAAGCTGATGAAAACAAGATCCATCCATGTATCGTCTCACATGAATGATTGCAGCATATCTTGTCAACCTAACACGTCTGTAAACGAACATATACCAGGACAAGCCGTTGCGGTTGAACTTCTCGTAAGTGACTTCAGAGAAACAGATGGGACATAGTATGTCACTTCTGTCCTTCCTTAACCGTAAGGACAGACCAAATTATAGTCTGATCACCATACTCTAAGTAATCGTTCTTACTTAATTTCTGTTTTACTAGTTTCACTAGTTTTTCTATGACTTTTTTGTGCTTGACAGCAATCCTAAGGCGAATTCTACTGCTGCTGCCGTAGATGATGAACCGTCTGGTTACTGTGAGTGCTGTTCTATGAATTTCAAGAGTTTATTTGAGGTTGGTTCTGATTTATAAGTGTGGTTTTTAATTTTATTAGCCAGTGGTCTAGTGAAGACATGCTCTGTTCTCTTTGTGTGCATTTTATAGTAACAAATAAATTCGATGTCTGTGTTATAACCTCTAAGAGTGACCAAGAAACTCATTTGAAGGTAGTTTTGATCACGAGGTAACATTATTTGAAGAACTACTGAAAACCTGGGGCACCGGATAATTGTTTCACCGTAGAATTGGACTCTTCAGCAGCCCTAAACTGTCAAGTTTCACACCGAGCATGTTACTACCATTCAGTCACTTGTTTGCCATCCGTTGACCCATTATTCCTACTTCTGTCAATTTACGTTATAGTGCGATCATCGTTCAGTGTTATTGTTGTGGGCACCCGCTTCATTTTCGACTTGGTCTTAACCTCAGTAGGTTATGACTTCTCAGGAGGACATTTCGAAGCTTGTCAATAGGTGAAGATTAGATACTCATTCGATTGATAGTTTGTCAAGGTTTCTCGGGTTAAAAGTGATATTTTTATCCCATTAAAAAAACAGCGAATCATCAGTGAAAACTTGAGATTGGATCGTTGGTGCATACTATTGAAAGGTTGCAAACTAAGATGAAACAGCTATTAGTTGTATTCAGGTTTTCAATGATTCTTCGGTTAGTTGTTTTTCAAGGTCAATCCATGAATAAAACTACCTTCTCAAATCAGCAAATGCCTATAAACTGTCGATTGTGATTCATACATTTATGCAAGACTTATAGATTGGGGTGTGGAATTATTCATACTGTGTGCGCATAGACACAGGTGATTTACTCATCAATTAGTTGTGCAGTTAAGCTGACTAAACATCTCATGAACAATGAGTCACCTTGTAAAGTTGGTTTTTGAGTGACTTTGCAGGCTACCCTAGCAACAAATGAAATAACTAATTATTATTAGTCTCTTGGGTTCCTAGTGGAACATAGGGCTTCAGTAGCACGCCTCCAGTGACCTCTGTTCTCTGAGATCTTTTGAACCTGGTCCCACGACAGCCCACAAGCTCTCATTTCCTCCTCGCACGACCTCCTCCATGTCACCCTCGGACACCCAACTCGTCGCTTCCCATGGGGATTCCACTCGACGACCTGGCCTGACGCGTGATGTCCTCAATCGGCCTTCTCAGTGCATGGCCAATCCACCTCCACTTCTTCCTGCATATTTGTTGCTTGATAGGTTCTTGGTTGGTTCGTTCCCAGAGCTCCTTGTTGCTTATTCTTTCTGTCAATCCATCTGATCTCCAGTAGCGAGCGTAAGCAGTTGTTGATGAATGTCTGTAGTTTATTGGAAATACCTTTCGTGACGCGCCAAGTCTCTGAACCATACAAGAGCACTGACTTGACGTTGGTGTTGAAAATCCGTATCTTGTTCCGCACGCTGAGTGCAGAAGATCTCCACACTGGTTTCAGGCTAATGAAGGCCTGTCTTGCAGTCTTTCCGATTCTGACTTTGACGTCCTCGTCCGTCCCGCCTGTAGTTGAAACAGTGCTTCCTAGATAAGTGAAGGAGGTTACTTCCTTTAAGTTTCTCCCGTTGACGGTGATTGAAATAACTAATTAGACTTTTTTATTTGATGAAAACTTGCATTTCCAGCTGAAGTGAAGAGACCTGATTAGTTATTTTTATCGCTGCTAGGGTGGCCTTTAGAGTCACTCCGGTTGTGTGTCGTTGTGACTTGAATCTATGGCTTTGCAAATAAAAATGAATCACACATTAAAACTTGTTTTAGTGTAAAATGAAGTGAACTGTTAAAAAAATTGTATGACTGAATGGTTGATAGGCTGACACGCACACTTAGTTGACTGACAGACTAATGACAGATGGTTTTTTTTTACAAACTCATAATAAAAGCTAAAAAGTACCCTACTACTACAGACACAAACAAATAAATTACTGATCACGAATGCTTTCAGGGTCATGCTTCGTGTTTAATTCCAGGATAAGGGTTACAATCAAATGAACGATTCTTTTTGCTGGAACTTACTCTTACCGAATATGATTGAACAGTAAGTTCAAAATACGCGATAACTGCACCTGATAATGCACTGTTTTCAATGTCAAATAGTCGGAGGGCAACCAGTGTATATCAAATTGGGGCATGGAACTATTGTGCAACGATTAATATTGCCACATGATCATATCAGACCATCAAGCAATAGTGGAAAAAATAGAGAAGAAAGTGACATAAAGTAATGGAAAGCTGTTAAACGAGAAAAAGGAGAGATAAGACAATACTGAAATTCAGTATGTCGAATGAGATGAAGGTAATATGCGAATGTACGGGTGCCGCCAAAGTCGATTCCAAGTAATTTTACCCATAGTCTCTAGTCACAAGTTTGTGGTTGTCACATGGACCCCAGTCAAGAAGTGTACGCTTTCCTAAACGACATAAATCAACAGTCGCAGACTCATTCCATGTTTTAGTCTATGATAAAATGTCGTGAACCAGTAACTTACAGATATTGCCACAGCTTGCTAACTAACTCAGTTATCTTTTCTCTTTTTGTTTTTTAAAGTAGACAACTGGTGTAGCATCATCTTTTGTTTAAAGTGTAAAAAACGTATTCCTTTGAAGTTGTTTAGGAGACTGTGTGTTGCTTTCATGGCTGCTTAACTGGGCGGTACTATCTGTGTACTCGAATTAGTTAGATGTCTTTTCAAAAGAATAGGGACTTCAGAGATAACGGCAAACAACGTTGCACTGATTAACTCGTCCACAACAAGGTAGGAAAAAAAATCAAAAAGTACACATAGTTGACAAACATTTAGTTATCGACAGTTTTTAGATCCCAATTGTCTCGCACATCCGTGTAACTTTGAGCAAAACACTCTGAAATTGCAAAACACGCTTCTGCTCGAAAAACATTTCATCAGAAGTGTCATTTTTGCAACTTAAGACCAGTCTATAATCTACTTAGTTGTGGCTGGTAGATGAATTCCGTACGCGCGTTTCTTCGCTTCTGGGATTTGTCAGTCGGGTGTACCTGTACTCCAGTGAGTGGTGTTCCCACTGAGACTCGAACCTCATACCCATCGCTTCTAACTCCAGTGCATTATACACAAAGCCACTAAGGCATGATAGCCACCCCTCATATAACAGACATTACGATTTGTTCATACATGTGACCTAGTGGATAACGCAGCCGTATCAGGGCTTATAAATGGAGCTGTCAAGTAAGTTGACAACAATTAGTGGTGTCTGACAGTGATGTCAGCTGTCACCGTTCCTATTTTAACTTCGTCATAGACGTCCTGATAATGCGTCGGACTTCACAAGGACTAACCTACTCCCTGGAGGTCTTCTGGTTGACTTGGAGTTTGCAGACAGTATTGTTCTACTGGGTGAAGACGCTTACGAAATGCAGAGTTTTCTGAACGCGTTGAACAGAAATTTGTGTATGTTTGACATGCGTTCCACTGGCGCCCGTCAAGTGTAAGAGGATGGTACAGGACTGGTCTGCAACCACTCCCAGCTTAATGATAAGAAGTGAAATAGTGGCACGTGTCGACCATTTTACTTACTAGGGGAGTTGCATTAGCCCGAACGGGCTGAATACTGATGAAGTCTCAGCTGGGATACACAAGGCCCGTTTGTCATTTACTATCTTGCGTCACCTCTGGCGTCGGCGAAATATTCGGCTATCTGTCAAAAGTGGAGTATACTGTTCTGTTGTAAGGCTGTGAGACATGACCGTTAAAAGTAAGAGACATGAAACAGTTACAGTTTTTCAGCAGTAGGTGTTTTCGTAGCACTGCCCGTGTTTGGTGTTTGGTAAAGACACTGATAAGGTGCAGAGTCTCCTGGACACTTTGAGTGGCAATTTGAGAATGTTTGGGATGCGTTTCTCACCACCGAAATGCAAATTTTTGCTCCAGAATTGGTCTTCAACAGTGCCTCGGCTAACAATAGAGAGTGTAATGATTGAGAGTGTCAACCACTTCACTTACCTGGAAAGTAGGATCAACCCTGCTGGCTCAGTGGCCGATGAAATCTCTCCACGGATACAAAAGACTCGGTTGACTTTCGCCAACTTGCGCCACCTGTGGCGCCGCTGTGATGTCTGACTGTTTGTTAAGGATCGCGTGTACTGCACAGCAGTCCAGTCTGTTCTACTGTATGGCTGTGAAACATGACCACTGAAGGTGGAAGACATGAGAAGGCTTCAGGTGTTTGACCACCGTTGCCTTCGTAGTATAGACCCGTATTCCGTGGTGTCACGACGTGAGTAATGCAGAAGTCAGGTGTAGAGTTTTAGGGAGTAGAGGTAAATCAGTTGACGAGGTTATGAACCTTCATCGACTGAGATGGTTGGGACACTTGTTACGTATGCCTAGTCGCCGATTGCCTCGTCATACAATGTTGGCTGAGGTGGGTCCAGGCTAATAAACAGCCCGATGTGGCCAGACTAAAACACGGCACCAATGCATAAAGTCTCTGACTGTTGGTTTGAGTCATGTGGGGCGATGCAGACTAGGTGGTTGGGGTCCGTGGTACAAGAGGAACCAGAGGTTGGAGACTAGGTGAAATGGCTCAGAACCGAAGTCAGTGGTGCAGATGTATACACACATTATCCTCATCTTAACGCTATATTGAATGTCACCATTCTCTCATTTTATCCTTTCGCACTTTTCTTACTTTATATTTCTTCTGACTGAATTTTATTATCTTCATCTTGGACTTCACTGCCTTTTTGCTTGATGTACTGATATGACGTATGGCAACACGGATCGTTACTCACTAATGCCTGGTCCCATGTTGATTTGGATGGATGGTTTGGTGAAATCACCATGTGAGCAATGTTGAGGTCAGGCGAAGGCAAGACAGACAAGTCGATTAACGAAATTTGTGAACCTTAGTCAATTGAGATACCTTGGATATGAAATGGGCGTTCCGAACCACCGTCTATCTTGACGTGCCATTTTAGAGAAAGTTGGATTAAGTTGAAATAGGGTTCAGGGTGACAAGACTAAGATGTGGTACCAGTCTACGAAGTTTCTGACTGTTGGTCTGAACCGTGTGGTGAGATATAGACTGCGTAGTTTGGGTCTCTGAGACAAAAGGGATTAGTACTTGAAGACTGTTGATGACACGACAGAAAATCAGTGACAATGGCGCAGATGTATTCACTTTTTGACATCTAGAGTTTAGGTATTTGTATTAACCGTTATCTTCAGATTGCTTATTCTTTCACGCAACTTTGTATACCTTAATATCACTCTTATTTTATCCACCTGTTCTTTATGTACTCCTGTGAAGTTTAGCAACTTGAGTCAATACATCTGTATGCAAGGTTCTACCTTTATTCTGTTTGTCTTTCTCACGATTGAACATTCTATGATGATTCTTTTTTTCTGTCTATTTTGATTGATGTCGTCAATATATATATTTTTAAAGTATCTCTCGTTACAAAAACATGAATAAAAGGTGACAATTCGAGTTGATGTACTGTCATCAAATATATATATATATATATATATATATATATATATATATATATATATACTGTGGGTTTGGTGTACATCCGACTGTCTAAATTTGTCATTCTTTCTGTTTGTCTCTTACTTACAAGTTGATATGTTTACGTGTCTTTGCTTATGCATATTACAGAAATTTTGTTCGTCATTCAGTGTATGGTTGGGTTATCGATCTCACAAAAATCGTTTACTCATATAACAGTAATAATAATCATGTAGATAAATATGACCCAATGACTTAACTTTTAGTAGTATTATACAAGTTTATACATTTATCGGATTGAAAGCTGATGAACAATACTCTCTCTCTCTCTCTCTGCTTTTGTATTTATAGGACGTTATGTTGAACATTTAAAAAAAAATTGAAAAACGGAAGATTAACAAAAGCTTTAATGTGTGGTTGAATTACTTTGAGATTAGCACAGAGCACTCAACAAACTAATTAAATGAATGAATTAGGTTGTCAACCTTTATTACCTGAGGTGGTTTAGGTTATCCCTAATCTCTGCTTACGCTAATGCAAATTGTTAATTGAGGTAGAAATAAGTTTGGAAGAGACTTAAATACCGTTAAACTAGAAGATGGTTAAAATCCACCTTAGAACTTTACACTTGACTTCTGCGTTACTCACGTGGTGTCACCACGGCACACGACGTATGCCACGGAGGCAACGGTGGTCAAACACCTGAAGTTTCATGTCCTCTATCTTTAATGGCCATATTTCACAGCTGTACAGTAGAATAGAGCTAACTGGAGCGCAGTCGGATACTGCGGTGGTGCCATACATGGTGTAATTTGTCGAAAATCAATAGAGCCTTTTGTATCCTTGTAGAGGTTTGGTTGACCACTGACCCACCATGTTGGAAGGTGCGAACCAGCCAGTTGAGGTCTATGTGACAGCGGAAACCAGTTGTTGTGGACTCTAGATGGTATGACTGAGAATCGATTTCAGTGGCACAGATGTATTCACACTATATCTTCATCTTACTGGCTATGCTGAATTCAACCTGTTCGCATTCCCCTTTCCTCTCTTCTGCTGCATTCTACTGCTTTTGACCGATTTTCCTCGCTTTCTTCGTCTTTCATCTTACTACTTTGTTACTCGTTGTTCTGATATGAGATGTGGGGACTTGAACCGTTACTCAATAACCCTTGGTCTTATGTTGATTGGTTGGTTTAAGCTAACTTGACTGTCAATCACTTGGATCAGTAATTTTCTGGTATCTCTTGCTTAAAAGAAGGAGATCGAAGGCAATATCAGCCTTATAACTGGTAATAATAAAAGCAGTTTCTATGTATAGGTGTTTGCTAACCAGACGCTTTGTGATGAAAGCTTAAATTCACGAAACTAGAAACTCTTCTGTGGACTGCAAGTATTTCCTTTAGCACACTGAATTGCGTCACTTTTGGTGTGTGTGATCAGAATGAAATGAATTTTTAGGATATCAGTTGCAAGCAGCGATAATTTTCAATGTATCGAATCATGTGATCATTGTGTTTTGTTGTAGCACCTTCATTGTACAGATCATCAGCAATTTGCCAATAATTCTGAAAATTATCGTCTACTGGATGATGTACTCAACAAGCTGCCCACATTAAAGGAGTTTTTAGAAGCAAATACATCCTGCGCTCCACAGTGTTCAGCTTATCTAAACCCTATTGCAATTAGTCCCTGTGATTCTTCTCGAAACCAAGTTAATTATATGTTAAATATTTCAAAACATAATGCATCAGAAAAGGAGAATATTTCTCCTGTTGAAGTGCCAACATTTGATGATATCACTGAGTGAGTTCAACATTTTATATATCTATTCATAACCGTGGTGATTACTATTTCATTGTGACAAATTTAGTTCCTGAAGATTTCTACTATACCACAGAGTCTAGTCAGATTGGAATGGAATCAAATACAGTAAATCTTAAATGTGTAAGGGGAACCGCAGTAGGGTATTTCTTGCTGGTATCCAGCATCTCCATTGATGGTGTATGTATGAAAAAAAGTTAGTCCGTGAAATAGCGCATACATACTTACTGTATAAACTGTTGCGTTTCGCAACGAGGTTTTCAGATTTAACGGACGATTACAATGGACGGGTTGGGAAACGGAAACCTTATTGGAAAGCACTTATGTTTTCGTTTTCCCAACCGACATGACCGATGATAGTGGTCGCTTGCTGCTATAATGCTACTCTGCTCGGATAGTCATCTTTTCATTGAGAACACGAATTTAAGATGTTACCTGGCCCAAGGACCATCAGGCTCAACTCAACAATGAATACAAATGCACCATATAACTATCAATAACTGTTGACTCTGAATCGTTTGCGTATGATTGGACAGTATCAAACCAGTAGCTATTAATTGCATGCCATAATGACTCAGAGAGATACACTAACTGGAACTATTGTTTCTTTAGATTCATCCATACCTATCTGTTTAATAGTTGTAAGAAAGTTACCCGTCCCAGTTGATTTATTAGTTGTATCACAAAAAGAAACAGTATTGTTTACTGGATTACTTTTTAGACTCATTTTGTTGTCTATAGTCATATCCAGATAGTAAGAGTAATACTGTTTCTGTGTAGGTTACATCAACTGGAATTACATTTTACCAGTGCCAAAGTTTTACCCTTATGTTAAAAGGAGCAACCGCCTTTGCGTTAGTAGCTTGCGCTATGGTGGCGAGAGTCCAAGGAAGTTGTACTGCTGGCTGGACGATGTTTGACAGCTGTAGGGTGTTCCCCATTCGTGACTAGCAGTCCATGCTGATGCTGCATTTCCATTGTAAAGAGAAGTCCGAAAAAGTTGGTCCTAAAAATAACACTCCTCCCTGTCCTGCGGTATCCCGTTGCTGGTTGTAGCTCAAACAAATCTCAATCCAAAACTCTTAAAAAGGTTGTTTACGACGGGCTCCAAGCAGATTTCCTTTGAGCTCTATTAACAAGTTACAGAAACAGCTTTTGTAGCGTAGGTAGCGGGGACTTAGCAACATCCCACCCGTTTCTGGCAGCACGCGAAACCCAACTAACCACCTACTTTCATCACCTTTGTCTAGCTTCTTGTTTTTATTTATTGACATCAATATTAAGCTTTGTAAAATTTAGCCGACGTATCCCTTTGCGACCATTTCTAAAGATTACCGTCAGTGCAGTATCATTCCTAGTCTCTTAAAACCCCACTGCAGAATTCATATTAGAGCTTTCAACGTCCGAGTCCTGGCAAGTTGAACAGCAGACCTTCCTCTCCGAAAATCCGTAACCATATATATATATATATATATATATATATATATATGCTGTGCTTCTAAGACATACATACATTATCTGAATATGGTTATTCACATAACTTCACTCGACTGATTTAGTGAATCTATGAAATTCACCTTCCAAATGTTCAGAGATTCAACGACTAGCTCTCATGTAAACACTAATGTAGAGCAGAAAGTGCACTTATTGGCTGGGTATCAGTCGATATGTCTGTGGAATGTGTGATTCAATATATGTATAATGAGTAGAAAGGATTGTTGCACTCGTCATATGAATTCCAATCGGTTGCAGTTCAGACAATGCCAGAAATTAGTTTTACCATAAGCTACCAATTTTACTACATATTCAGATAATCATGGTCGTGGTCAACTTCAACCCTTAAGTAGGAAAACTGGGTCAGTCTGAAACGCGTCTTGTAGGTATTTAAGGTATCCTACACCAAAGAACCGATAACACTGACCGTCTCGTGTGATTTTGTCTCAACAAACAGTAAGCACCAATCATCATCAACTGGAGAAATTTAAAGGAAGTTGTCTCTTTCACCACCTGCCCAAACACGACGCAGCATCGTTCCAACCACAGGTGGCACAGCCACACATCAACATCAGGATGTCAAAGCACATACGATCAGAAGGACAGCAAGCAACACACCCCCTTCCTTCATTCATCTGGAATCAGTGTGGAGATCTGCAGTGCAACTCACTGAACTGCACTCAGCATAAAGCGTGAACAACATCCGCATTTTCAACACTAATGTCAGTCAAGTAATTCAGTGCTTCCATCTGATGCTTCAGAAACTTGACCGTGCCTTACGAAAAGCATTTCCAACAAACTACAGACATGCATCATCAACAGCTGTCTACGCCTACACCTAGAATCACTCGATACTGATACTGACACTGAAGATCTGATGGCCAGAAAGAATAAACAACAAGGAACTCACTCTGACTGACTGGCTGGCTGGCAACGAACCAACCAACAACCCATCGCCCAACAAATATGCAGAGGAAAGTAGAGATGGATTCGACTGGACATACAGTGAGAAGACCGTTCGGGGACATCACGTGCCAGACCAGACCCTCGAGTGGGATCCAAGGGGGAAACGACGAGTTGGGGGTCCGAGCCAAGGGTGACATGGAGGAGATGGTGTGAGGAGGAAACGACAGCTTCTGGACAGTCGTGGAGCTAGGTTGAAAAGACTGCAGAGAAGAGAGTGAAATGGTGACGTGCTAGTGAAGCCCTATGTTCCACTAGGAACCCAAAGGACAAATAAGAAAAATCAATTGTTTTTGGCCTGCACTAAATAAACATAAAGAGAGACACTGTCTCACTTTGTGTTCGTGGGCATCAAACCAACGGTCGATGCAGAATGGTCATATTGGTATAAGTTATCGATTGTTTGCATGTTAGTGTAGGTTGTGGCAACTTGTACTAATGAACTTGTATACCAGTTTCGATGTTGGTTTATCAATCCTCTTGTTAAACAGCAATAAAATATTATTTTTGAGTGGCTTGTATTTAAGCTTTAGCAGATAACAGAAGGCTTTTACAAGCACAACATGAAGATGAAAACACTAGGAAATTGTTTAAGGCATAGATATGGTCTTATAAATGGAAAAAAAACCTGGTGTAAAAATTATTATACATGAATTGCTTGCTATAAGTTTTTAAATAATCATATGTTTAATATTTGTCTGTCAACACGAGATCTAACATATACAATTGATTTGTTATATTGTATATATTTCAGATCTATCATTGTCTCAGAACAACCAGATTCTCTAGTAGTTGTTGATGAAAATCCTTTTCAAGCAATGAATGATCCTCCTGTACTGAACTTTTCTCAACCATCTACACCAATAATGAATCAGTTTATAGAAGATGATGGTTCAGAGATATTCAGTAATCATGATTTAATCGATGTATGTGAAATATCAAAAACTGGTTTTGATAATGATGGACGATTGTTTGGGTTAGATGAAGAAGAAACCGCTTTCCTTTATCTCTTGTAAAGAAAAAATAATAATAAAAAGAGTTTAAAATTTTGTAAATTTTTAATTTTTCTATGCTCTTTTACCCATCTTCCATTGATTCAACTATAAGCGCTTTCATCATTATTACAATTTTTAAAGAAAAAAAAGGTGTATATTTGCATAAATTATAGACATTTTTGAATGTTAAGAGTTAAATTCTTTATTTATTAGGCGCCCATTTTAGCCTTTAGATGATAGGAATTATGTTTATAGCAGTGTAAATATGATGAGACAGAGTAGATTGATGGTATTATTTTCTTTCTCTGATTTCTCTTTATTATTTCCTTTATTAAAGATAAAGGAAGGATTCATATAAATGTGTGTATATTGAATTGTTGTCATAGAATATATCTATAAATTCTTGGGATAATGAAGATAAATATTTTCTGATATTACATGTATACAGTTTGACGTGTTAAGGTTATTCGAGTTTACAAGACTTAATCTATTGGTTAAATTGTGAAATAGTCTTGAGTATTTTTATTGAGAACCTCGCCTGGTTAACTAGTTTACTAGTTTAGCTAGCAATTCTACCCCGTAAAAGAAATCTAACCTCTAAAGAGACTTCAAAGCACAAACAAAATTATTCCTCGCTGCAATCGGAGAGGCGAAATGACGCCAGTTGGTGAAAGCCTTCTGTAAGCCAATTGGCCGATGTGTCTTCTCTCGATGAAAACGAAAGTAAACGTGGGGACATGGAATGTCCGTACGATGTTTGAACCCAACAAGGCAGCCCAGATTGCAAAAGAGACGAGTGGAATCCCCATGGGAAGCGACGAGTTGGACGTCCGAGGGTGACATGGAGGAGGTCATGCGAGGAGGAAATGAAAGCTTCTGGGCTGTCGTGGAACCAGGTTCAAAAGATCTCAGAGAACAGGATGAAATGGAGACGTGCTACTGAAGCCCTATGTTCCACTAGGAACCCAAGGGACTAATAATAATAATAACAATTTTTATTTAGTTATAAAACGAAGATTTCAGCGAAATGATTTATTTTTAGCGATATTACTCATTCAAAAGCTGTAGATTCGCATTTGAATATAATTTGCGTGAATTACACCCAACGATAGAGAAAAACGTCAATGTGATTTCTCAAGTGATAATTCCTGGTTAACTATGTTCTAGGAAAAATATATCAGTGAAAGTTACATTAGAAGTGTTACTATGAACAGACAGAGAAAATCAACGTGGAACCTATCGCATACGAGTGTATTAGTTCAAGTTGTCACACTTCACGGTAGTAAACAAAAAATATATATAGATAGAAAAGACTGACGTCAAAGTAGGAGATGTATAGGAGGAGAGCGAATTTAAAAGTAAAGGTTAGTTGAAACATTCAACCTCCAGAATACATCATAGAGTGGATATGTCCGCGCAACTGAGACCTATTTCCAGCCATTTAACCATCAGTTCCTATCGTCTCAGTGATGCTGACCATATTAGTTTACACTCCTCCCTACATGGCTCAAACCAAGAGTCAGAGACTTCATTGACTGGTGCCACACCTTACTCTGCTCACCGTGAGTCTTCCAACCGAATCCAATTCCCCTTAGCATGGCACGTCAAGGTAGGCGAAATAACTATGGTAAAATAAGCGTCACTTAAAATCAGGAAGTGAATATGTTATGTAGTGAGGAAAAATTTGAGTAAAAGTTCGAGTTCAAATGTTTTTTTAATAACTAAATGAAAATCATATTTATCAATGGGACGGTATGTATGAAAAAAATGGTTAGTTATACCTAGGAAGTTTAACAGAAAAAAGGACTACTTGATACACATTTGTAATCAAAATTTGAGCAACACAAGTACATTTTTCTCCTTCAGGACTACGCAGACCGCAACTTATCTTCGCCCAGCACCAACTCCCGATACAGACATTGTTCTACCTGGCATCCACTGAAACCTGGGCCTAGATCAATTAGCTACCGAAGGTATGAGTGTATTCACAATCGCCGCAGTATGTGGTTAGTGTATGCCAAATTCATCTTGCGAACCGAGCTAGACTCAAGGCTAGCTGTTGAACCTCCAGAAAGTGTAGATGAATATTAGCTGTATCCACAAAACGTTAACGAAACGGTGAGTCAAAGTGCTTATGGCTCGGAAGAACGTCCTACTAATTAACACTGGATCTCTCTGTCAGCTTCCTACAACTTTCTAACGCTCCTCAGTTTATTGCGGCAGGTTGGGATATAATAGAATGCATAAGTCTCCTACTCGACAAACCACATAGCATTTGCGTAAGGATCACGAGGCATGGTTGTCAGAACCTAAATGGGTTGGAAGCAGCATCTGGATGTTGCAATAATTGGAAGCTGTTCTGGTTCATCCGGGGCCCTGCCAGCAAGATGTTTGATGTCACTGAAGTGGTTTGTGAAGTAGATAGTACGCTGAGCATCAATCAACCTTGACTCCGAGATTGTTAAGTAGCGCACCTCGAACAATGACTCATTTGGCCTACTGCTCACGCAACTTTGACCCTGGTGTTTTGCTCTCTACGGTCAGCTAAAACCGACTCGTCGAACGGAGCGGAGGTCCAGTAGGGATTCCGACGACTAAAGCATTACAAAGCACCCGAGTCAGATAACTTTCCTCGACTCCTCTTAAGGATGGGGGTGATGCTGTAGTCCGGAGACTGACGACATTGTTTGATACGGTATGAAAGACAGACTATTTCATCACTATGGGACGAAAGCATCGTCGTATTCATCCTCAGAGACGGTCTATATCATAGTCCATACAATCTGCCACGAGTAACGTCGGAAATGTGGGGTGCTACCATGCTTTGCAGGCTGTGCGTGACGTATCAAGAACTGATCTGCTAGGACCAGGCCGAGTTTCATTCAGATTGTGGGTGCACACCTGTCCCCTGGTGTGAGACTTTTCGACCTAACATGGGTCGACTATTTCATTTTAATTTGTGGTACTTAATGGGTTTGTGACCAACAGAGTCTGAGTCTATGGGAAAAACTTAGGTATTTATGTAAATGCTAGTGAAAGTACAACTTAGATTTCCAACTACATCGAGAGCCAAAGACCCATCCGTGTCACCTTCGGTATGGTTATGGCTTTGCCTTGAATTAAAGGGACAGTCAGTGTATGATGTGGAATGATGGTTATTTGTGTTAGGCTGGCGTATACTGGCGCTTTCGATGTTGTCTGAGAGATCGTACCACTCAGCGTTTTAAAACCATATCAAATGTTTGGTCTAATGGCGATCATGTTATTTCTTTTAGCTCATTTATTTCTGGTAAGTAGCGTAAATGCGATGGAACATTTGTTTATTTGATGTATCACGAATTTATACCGTATTATGTGAATAATAAAATTTGGGACCGGTGGTCTGTTTCTTCTTACGTCTTTCGTTTACTTCACGGGATTGTTGTGTTACGTGGCTCACCTCTCGGTGCCCATAGCGTGCGGAGTTCGTGTTTAAAATTACATAAATAGAACAGTATTACTTACTGGATCTCATCTGGGAAAAGTGCAGAATTTTTTCTGTTGCATGCCACCCAAGTAAAAGTCGGATAGAACGACAGCATTCTACCTCGCAATGGTTGCGAGGGATCTGATAAACTAAATTATTGTCCATTTGGACTGATAGAATCTTTTAAACCACAAAGCTTATTGCTAAACGAATTTGTTGGTTCAATTACCACTCTAATACCAGCGTTACTGAGAATCGCACGTAATATCGCTGAGGTGTCTTCGTTATATGGTAATACTGTAGGGGTTCTAAATTTCCCATTCACAGTATTGCCACTATAGCAATAATAGTTATTATCATGAACACTTGTGTTACCAATATTAGTCATATTTTCCTTACGATCACTAAGAAATTTATTAATTAATTCAGGAGGGTAATTGCTGCTTAGGAAGGTATCTGTAATGTTTCTTGTCTTAGATCTTGTTTTACCAGTAGGTTTCTTGGTCTCGTTACTTAGTTATTTTACCAAGCCAACTGACACGGGATAAGATGATTTAAAATCTAGGTAACGATCCCAGTGTAAAGGTTTTCCATAGACAGTGTCTAAACTTCCGTCTTGTCTCCGTTTTATTCTGCAATCCAACATCGCTAATTCCCCTTCACTATTTTCTAATTCATATGTGAGTTGGATTGCGTGGAATAGTGAGTTTATATATGTGAAGAAACTATGTATGCGCTCGGATTTCAGCACTGTAAATGTGTTATCTATATATCGAAACCATACTTTTGGAGTAGGATCAAATATTTCGACAGCTTCCCACTAGATATATTCATATGTTGGTCGATGTCTTGCACCTTCATCAAGTTAGACATGCGTGGCACATACTCAGCAACCATCTAGATTGAAGTGCAATGGTAATCAACGTAAGATTAGCTTAGAAGAAAGCTGCAGGTGACCAGTCCAAGACATGGCAACAGACCGTGGTGTCTCTGAGTGGTGGTCAAGATGATTGAAAGTCTTTGAAAACTGTTTATAATATCTCTCGAGTTCGGTCTCAATGGTGCGAATGAATACAACTTCGAGGTGTCGCATCTGTTTATGCTCCAACCTGTCATATGTTTTTCTGATCAAATGTCATCTTCGTTTTATCCACTTTTTCTTTACATGCTGCTATAAAGTTTTGCATCTTGGACTGTACCATGCTCTACTTTGAATTGTTTGTTCGTCTGTACCAGCACATTTGACTTTATTGATACAGTTGGCAAAGCATCCGCTTTTAATCTGGGAGTCTAGAATTCGTGTCTTTCGCTTGGAGGTAGCTTTTATCACCACCTACCAAGTAGTGCGATATTAGCCGGAGTGGATCAAGGTTGGGAAAGGGGTCAAAAACGATTAGGCTAAAACACGATATCAGTCCGTGAAGTTTCTGATTGTTGATCTGAGCCGTATAGAAAAACATAAACTTCCAGGCTGCGATCCATGTGACAATAGAAATCAATGTTTATAGACTGTAGGTGACACAGATAAGACTTGATCTCTGTGGCACAGATACATCCACTCATTCCATTTCATCACTATTCTTAACCCTCTCTTATGACTTTTGATTACATTTTCCTATTTTGGCTGCCTTGCATATGGATTCGCTGTTGGGAAGCGGTAACTTGGGCTACTGTACGTTAATGCTAGTTTTCACGCTGATTTTCTTCCAAAGCTTTTGATATACATGTGCAGCTCTGACTCATTGGTTCAGAGAGATGACTTTCGAACAATGGATCACGGATTCGAATCCAGCTCTGACTACCGAGATTTGGGCAGCATCGTTAGCCCTCACACACAAAATAGATGTGGTCCATTGCCTACTGTACGAGGGGTCGCTGGGTGCTCGATTGGACGTGCACGTTTCTTAAACAATTAACTCTGCCTAAAAGTTGAGTCACGCCTTTAAACACGCAAAAATATATCTGGTGCGCATCAAATATATGCGCATGCTGGAAATGAGTATCTGAGCAGTTGTTCGTCGATAAAATGAAAACTAGATGACAATGAATGGTACAATCAATGATTTCTAACTAAATGCAATAGGATTCAGTTGATGGTATAGTATATAGAGCGTAAAACAATTTTAAAACAACCTTTTTATTACATTTCGATCTCCATAGGTAAAATAACAAAATTGTTCATCACACGTTTTCGCCTTAGTTAAATGTTTTTTTTTTAAAACACGCCTACAATAACTTATCTAAAAACAAAACAAAATGTGAAGAAGAGAAACAGGAAAAACAAGACGAAACAATGAAATTTGATCACAGACAGCTGATAATGGGATATCCATAACGAAAATTCCCAACAAAGTCATTATTATTGTTATCATCGTTATCATCAATAACAACACTATGGATTATATGAAAGTGAGATTTGTTCATTCACTCACAAACATAGTGCTGCTCCAACAACCAGTTTATCGAAAACCCTATGCAACCACTTGATTATGTGTTGATAAACCGTGATTCAGCTGAGTATCATTGTCGTCATCATCAACATTATTTTCATATGCATCATTTTTGGTCCGAGTATCGCTACCAAACAACAGTAATGACTCCGATTTGAAGTGTATCCCAGACTGTCGAAGTACAACAGACCAAACATAAGGTATGAAAAATTCATCAGGAGATTCTTCTTCAACATACTTAAATTTCAGATCTGGAAATTTCTGTAATAGGAAAAAAACAAGTTCAGTATTTGAGAAAAAAAAATTATTACACGCACTGAATCATAACGAATAAAAATACATTTAACAGTAAATCTTGTTTAAAAATAACTGAAGATCTTTCCCAATCATGAGTGTGCAGTGGTTGTACTGGATACCAGTAGACTTTAACAACCATTTTTGTATTATACATACATTATTACTATTCCGTTTGTGCGTCAAAACAAGCAGTTCCTAGCTACACAGCACAAACATATAGACTAATCAGGAAAATTTTTTTCAACGAATCACAAGGAAAAGTTGATTTTACAATAGTGAAGTGTATCCCATGCCTTATACCGATCGCTTGCTTTCTGTCTTTACATGTCGCTTTCTGAGAGACAATGATTTACTTTGATTCAAGCTCCTTGGCACTGCTACAATTGTTGTTTATTAGATGTTTGTAATTTTATGTAACTCTCATGTTCCAGTGACCTAGTGGAGTGATCTGTACTGGGTTCGAGATTCAGTGACAACACGTACGGGCACATCCGGCTGACGAGCCCCAAAATGGGACGAAAGCGCACATCGTGGATTCCACTGTTAACCACAACCAAGTTAATTACAACATATCGCTACAATTATCACATATACAACCATCGTAGTGGGCGGTGCTGATAAGAATGGATATAAGTAGCATATGTTAAGAGGGTGGCAGGAATCATAGGGAATTACCAACAATGGGTAAGGATTCTGCCAAGAGCAACGTAAGGGATAACGCAGGCGCATTACAGTGGATGCTGCTGATAAGAATGTATGAAGAGCGAATCAAGAGAGAAAGGGAAACGAAGCACATTTTGCAAATGACGGGTTCAGTGCTAGATGTGCCATATGTAACGACTACCGTTGCAATTGTTGATAATAAACCTTCTTTCCGTCGTGTCTGTCTCTTGTCTCTTCACCATGACGAAGCAATATACTGATAAATTCCAACTAAAATATCACTAGGTGGTTTGCATCACCAAATACTAATAAATATTGTATATGATTTATTCTCACACTGAAGAACCAGGGGACAAGTTGACGAGAGGACGTTTATTACGAACAATTGGAGTGGTAGTGCTTACATATGGTACTCCTTGCACTAACGCAGCCATTTGCAAATGTCTTCGTTTCCTCTCTGTTCCTGTCTTGATTTTCTCTTGTCCGGCTCTTCATACACTCTTATCAGCAGCATCCCCTGTAATTCACCTGTGTTGCCCCCTGCGTTGCTCTTGGCAGAAACCTTACCCATTGCCGGTAATTCTTTATGATTCCTGCCACCTTCTCGATATATACTACTTATATCCGTTGTTATCAGCAACGCCCGCTACAACACTATACTGTAGTTGTTTAATAACTTTCCTGACTAAATTGTAGAATTATGTAGGCCATTTGCATGACCTACTTAATAGGATTCAAATCGCACGCCGATTAACTTTGTCTGAACATAAATAGTCATAAATAATCAACATGAAAAAGGCAAAAACAACAAGTGTGGCAGGATAATATGTGGTCGTTTTTATTACTTGGACGATTCTTCTCAACTGTTTGTAATCTAAATAATATCAAAGTGTGTACAGATACTACAAGAATTGGAGATACTTTCATCAAGTGGATGAGAAGTCACAGACAGGAACAACCGGTAACATCGAAAATGATTCATTTATACGCATAGATACAGATACAAGCAGGGTGATAGGTAGACAGACCTCTCATACACACAGGCGCATCGCTTCAAATTGTCACAATAGTATACAAAGAACGGTTGGATAGAAAACTGATATCAAAGTACGGGGAGAGAGGAAATTTAGAATTGAAGGTTGGTCAAAACATTCAAGCTCTACAAAACGCCAAAGAGTGAATACATCGGAGCAACCGCGACCGATTTTCAGCTACATTCACCAAGAGTCACCAACCACTGATTCCTGTCTTCTCAGCGATGTCAACCAGGTAGTCTACACTCCTCCTTACATGCCTCAGAGTAACAGTCAGGGATTCTATGCACTGATAGCATGTAAGTAGAGATTGTTAGAAATGTGAAAGGAAGGCTGACTATTTATAGGATTACTAAATGAATATATTCTTGAAGGAGAGGGTTCACAGGTGGATGGAAAATAATTGCCGCAAATTAATAAAACCTTGAACAGGAAGCTTAGCAACGTTTAGCTAATAATAAAATTACTCTTCAAAATGCTGGTAAAAGTAGCTTTTAGGCAAGATAGAAAAACTTAGTGATGGATGGTGGCTGACAGTAGAATACAGTATGCGCACTTCATCTTATTTAGGGCTCCTCAGCTGGGTGTACCTGCCTCCTAATGATGGGTGTTATTCCCACTAAGATTCGAACTAGGGACTGGTCGCTTAAAACGCCAAAGCGTTATCCACAACAGACACTTATTAGACAGTGGTCTGGCATTGGAAGTGATCGTTCCCTGGTTCGAGTCCTATTGGGAAGAACATCGCTCACTGGGAGGCAGGTACATTCCAGTTGACGAGTCGAAAATAGCACTAAAACCGCATCCTAGATTCTCCTGCTAACTACTATCCATCATTAAAATAAAAATTCAAAATATAGGCAATATTGAGGCATCTGCACAGGAACACAGGTACATATGACGATAAGGGATATACCCTTCTTCGTTTTTTGATAAAACAAATTATGAACTATAGCAATATGACGAAAAGGATGATAACTACCTTTAAATTGCAACTTCGTTGAGTATTGCCGGCATATTTCTGAATTACTTGCATAACAGACTGTGGTTGGGTTGGCTGAGGTCCTAGTTCCGCTTCAATTTTCTTTGAGAAATGTGTTAACACAATGTCAATATTTTGTAGCACACTCTGAAAGAATATTGGCAAAAAAAATGAGTAAGATTTAAACAATAAGTGTATAGAAATTCGACATAAAAAGTATCAGAATAATCTTGTTCATTATCGAAACCTGCAGCTGCATAATGAATCGAATGACTATAAAATAAAGAGTAATTACGTCTACCTTCTGTCAGATAATCACAACAATACTGACCAAAGTGACAAAGAAGTCTGAAGTGAATCGTGATCCAAGCCAGGACTATCGGTCCAACTGCACAATCCACTAAGCGACAAGCTTCAACAACTAATCACATCCTACTTTTATTTAATACAAGATAGAAGTTTCGCATATCGCAGTTTTATTGAGAATGTTGGTGCTACCATCTGAGATAGTTGTGGTACAGCAGACTGGAGTGATAATTGCCGGTGAAATGAAAACGTATGTCGTAGAAGGAAAAATTCTATTTTATTGCAAAACGTTCCTATGGATATTTTGTCGAATAGCGACTAAATGCTAGTTGCACACACACAGCTCATTTAGATTGCTAATAGAAGGTTTAACTGAGTAACCAATGCATAATAATAAGAAAAAAAGACACCTGTTCTTTTTAGGAGATAAGTCAAAATAATTTCCCATTTCAAGGTAGTATTCATCATGGATTGACATCAGTTGGAAAACCACTGAGAACCTAAGAGCACTGGATAGCTATTTTCTCCTAGTATGCGATTTTTCAAGCATATACGCAAGCACGAACCCACTAAGGATAGAACCCTCGACTTTCAGTTCTTACGGCGAGCAATGGGTTAGAAAACAATGGTTCACCTTACCCTACTACTGTCAACTCACGATATAGCACAACGCTCATTCAGAGTCATTGGCAGCTATTTTTGTCCTCACACACGACTTAGTTGAACCCAAAGATTAAAGTTTCCTAGTTAGATCTTCGAGAAATCCACCTCCAAGAACGTCATTTATTCAGCAATAAGCAGTTAGTCACTTTCGAAATTTGTAGGGATTTTATTAATTTCAAGGTGGCATTCATCACGGACTCTTAGTGAACACTAAAAATCGGCTTCAATGGCATGGATACATTCGCTCTTTGGTGTCTTCTAAAGCTTGAATAATTCCATTGGCTGTTATTTTCAGATTGTGTATTTTGTCACACTATTTTACCTTCTTTGAAATCACTCTCTTTTATCCACCTGTTCTTTATGTACCACTGTGAAGTGTGGCAACTTGAGTAGTTGTGTAAGAGATTCTATGGTGATTTTATCAGTCCGTCACGTGGGAGTCTCAGATTGGCTAAAGGACTCTGTAGAAAAGTCTAGGACTTACAAAGGCCAACAAAGAACCATCATATATATCATCATCATCATCATTATCAACATAGGACCAGGCATTACTGCGTAACGGTCCGAGTTGCCACACCTCATATCAGCACATCAAGTAAAAAGGTAGTGAGGTGAAGGATGAAGATAAGTGAATGCAGTCAAAAGAAATATAAAGTATGAGAAGAAAGGAAAGAGGAGTGACAAAATAGTGAGATTCGGTATAGCGTTGTTAAGATGAGGATAATGTGTGTATACATCTGCGCCACTGACTTCGGTTCTGAGCCATATCACCTAGGGTCTCCAACCACTGGTTCCTCTTGTCCCGTGGACCCCAACCACCTAGTCTGCATCGTCCTACATGGCTTAAACCAACAGTCAGAGACTTCATACATTGGTGCCATGTTTTAGTCTGGCCACCTCGGGCCTTTTTCCAGCCTGAACCCACCTCAGCCAACATTGTGTGACGAGGCAATCGGTGACTAGGCATACGTAGTACGTGTCCCAACCATCTCAGTCGATGAAGGTTCACAACCTCGTCGACTGACTTACCTCTTCTCCCTAAAACTCTACACCTAACTTCTGCATTACTCACATGGTGACACCACGGAATACGTCCTATACTACGAAGGCAACGGTGGTCAAATACCTGTAACCTTCTCATGTCTTCCACTTTCAATGGCCATGTTTCACAGCCATACAGTAGAACAGAGCGGACTGCTGTGCAGTACACGCGACCCTTAATAGACAAACGAATATCACGGCGGCGCCATAGGTGGCGCAAATTGGCAAAAGCCAATCGAGCCTTTTGTATCCGTGCAGAAATCTCATCGGCAACTAACCCACCGGGTTGATCCTACTTCCCAGGTAAGTGAAGTGGTCAACACACTCAACCACTTCACTCTCTATTGTTAACCGCGGTACCGCTGAAGACCAGTCCTGGAGCAAAAATTTGCATTTGGGTGGTGAAAATCGCATCCCAAACATTCTCAAATTCCCACTCAAAGTGTTCAGAAGACTCTGCATCTTGTCAGCGTCTTCACCTAACAGGACTATGTCATCTGCATATTCTAGATCTAAGGAAAATTCACCTGTGATCCGGTCAACGTCTTTGTAATTAGGTGACGAGAGGGAAACCTCCATAAGAATATCTATGATAAAATTAAATAAGAATGGGGATAGTGGGCATCCTTGACGGACACCACTTGATGAGTATAGCTCCCTGGACAACTCACCATAGGCTCTAACATGCCCACAAGTGTTCGAGTAGAGAGCTTTCAATAAGGTGATGTACTTACTAGGCACGCCTTTCAGTGACAGACACTGCCATAAGACTTCTCGATCAACGGAGTCAAATGCCGCCTTCAGGTCGAGAAATACAGCTATTGTCGGGCGTCTGTAAGCATGCCTATGTTCCAGGACCTGGCGCAGTGTGAATATTTGGTCGATACATCCACGGCCAGGTCTAAAGCCTGCCTGGTTTTCTCGGGCTTGCTGTTCCCGAGCTCCACTCAGGCGTCGGAGAATTATAGAACTTAGGATCTTAGACACTATGTTTGTCAGGCTGATTCCTCTGTGGTTATCACAAGAGGACTTCTCGCCTTTCTTGAAGACTGGGATGATCAGTGACTTAGACCAGTCGGAGGGGATCGTATTTGATTCCCATATACTGGCTAACACTTCCGTTAGCCTGACTAAGAGAACTCTACCACCATTCTTGTATACCTCAGCAGGTAGTCCGTCTGGTCCTGCTGCCCTTCCCCGTTTCAGGCTACCTACCGCTTTCTCAACTTCTTCTAGTGTTGGGGGACCTGTCTCTATGTCCCATTCAGGGTCCGACTGGATAGCGGGCAGCGCAATGGTGGCTGGAGGCCAGTTAAACTGTTCCTCAAAGTGTTCTGCCCATCGTCCCAGTCGCCTTCCCTGCGAGTGAATCGCCGATCCGTCCTTCTCCGCTATAACCTCACTAACTGTTGTTGACCATTTCCCCCCAGTCTCCTTAATAAGTCTAAATAACTGTCTACTGTTACCGATCGCCGCTGCCTTTTCCATCTCTTTAGCCTTTGCTGCCCACCACTGTTCACGATCGTTGCGCAGACTTTTCGTCAGTTTATTTTTAAGTTGCGCTCGCTCTTCATTGTACTCAGAGCCTGCAGGGATGCATTCACGTGCATCCATTAGTTTGGAAGAAGCTGCTGATATCCACTGGCTCTTTTTAGCCATTATCTTGGAGTCGGCTACAGTCTCCAGTGCTGCTTTTACAGTAGACTGAAGATGGCACCAAGCTTCTTCTGGATGAGTGACAGTCTTTTGTTCCGATAACTGCCTAGCCAACTTCTCACTGAACACGGCTTTGGTGTTTTCGTTGTCCAGCAGAACTCGTAGTGGTTTTGTTGCCAAATTTTTTCTACGTCCATTGAGACGCAGGCATATACGTGCTCGGACCAACGCATGATCGCTGTCCAAACACGTACTCCAGAAGGAGCGGCAGTCTTCCACCGATCCTCTCCAGCGATGACTAATAGCAATGTGGTCTATCTGTGTCCATCGCTGAGTCGAGCTCGGTGGACGCCAGGTCAGACAGTGCCTTTCTTTATGTCTGAAATTTGTGCTGGCTAAAAATAGGCGGTTATCTGAGCATAGTTGTAATAGGCGATCACCGTTATCTGTACGTTCAGCTGGGATTCCGAAAGTGCCACCTAAGTGCCTTTCTGCCTCACTCAGTCTACCCACCTGTGCGTTGAGGTCACCTGCAACAACCACTACGTCCGAACGTTTGGCTTTCGAGAGGAGGTTAGACAGTTTATGGTAGAACTCGTCCTTCACTTCATCCGAACTACAGTCAGTGGGTGCGTAAGCAGAGATTACAAAGAGACAACGGCGAGTCTCACTATTCCTTTTAGTTCTCACTGTGCCGTTCAGCCTCATAGCGCAGAGGCGACTATCAACTGGGATCCAGTCTAGTAGTGAGTTTTCTGCCCTGGTGCTTAATGCTATACCTACACCTGCAAGACCACGAGAGCTAGCTATCGAATCTCCAGAAACTCGAAGGGTGAATTTTGCAGATTCACCAGATTGGTCAGGAGAGGTCAGGTGAATAACCACACTTGGGTCCTGTATGCGTGTCTCACAAACACAGCACACATCCATGCCTCGAGTTGCTAGAGTCTTTGCCAACGAAGCCTGTTGGCCAATTTGACGGAGGGTGCGGACATTGAAGGCTCCAATATGTAATTTGGAGCGTGGTTTAAGGAGACCAGGGACGCTGTTCTGTGGACTCAGATCGTTGTCGAAGGCTGCAGAGGTAGGAGAAATTGAAGATGATGCAGCATCATTAATTAAGAGACGTGAAGGAAGATTAGAAGGTAATGATGGAGGAGGAGGATAGCAGTCAGAAGAAACTTGGGTGCTGACAGAGTTGTGAGGGCGGTTGACACTTCCCGGCTGCCCACACCGTGGAAGGCTATTTCTTCTTAAGGTACCTGAAAGAGATTTGTGTGACCGCAGAGCCCATCGGACATCTGCTTGAGGCCTGTCACACCCAGCCTTTTGAGTATGATTATTTTGAATTTTTGTATTTTTGGGGCCGGATGAGCGAAAGGAAACGACAAGTGAACCAACACCGCCGGCCCGGCAGACCGTGGGGCGTGGTGGAGTGTGTTATTTTTGGGGCCGACCTTTTCTAACCCCCCCTTCCACTGAGAAGGCAGCATCAGCTTGGCACTGCTGGTCATCCAAGGGAAACACCTTACTGCTGTCACACCCCATCCAGCTAGCAGCAGTACGACTTCGCCCTCAGACCCCCATCATAGTGTAGCAATTTACACTATAACGGTAACTGCTTTTCGTCTAACCACTACCCAACAGACCTTTCTGGTATGGTAGGACCTCGAGGGAACAAGCGTTCCACCAGCATAGCTCGTTGGGTCATTGTGATATGCAAGCCCGACCACCACGTCAAGGTAGCAGCTATCATATATATCAGTTTCAATCGTATCACCACCTAGGTTTTCATGTCAGCTTCAATAATCATACTCATACTCATACCCACATCTGATGTTTTAAATATGTTTAAATATTTTATTATGGATAGCTTCCTATCACTGTTTAGTGTTGCCTTCTCGTCTAAACCATATTTCAAAAGGAAGTGATAATATTTCTCAGATGGCTATCATTTATATTACCGATCACCACTTCTGATATTCAACCAACTTGATGAGCAATAGGCAGACAATCGAAAACTTCTACATGAAGTTTGATAAAAAGATGCTGAAATACAAGTTAACCAATAGGAAATAAAAAAATCTAACCTGAAATGCCGGATGTGAACGTAAAGGAGCAAATGAATCCTTCTTATATAATAAAGAGTATATTAAATCGGGATTAGATACCATTGTATGAGTTAGAATTGAATTAATAATTTCCAATAACATTCGAATAACTTCTTCTAACAAAGCTAACTCTTGAACCTAAAACAGATAAAGGAATTCATTTTGTGAACATATAAAGCAAATCTGAAAATGGATCAATTCAAGGAATAAATAGTGGTCAACTAAGTATAACAAAGTACACGCAAGTCTATGAGAAAATTATTATAACAGCAAAAGGAGTTCTGGGTAAGTAAACCATTCTGCTGAAGGTTCTATAGTTGGACATTTGTGGTCTTGTTGAATCTTACATGATGTCCACCAAGGATGTCTGCTCTCTCCATACTTATCAAACTTTTTCACAGCCGTGATAATAGGCGTCTTTCTTTCCTTGTTTGACTTTGAAGGGATTGCTTTAGTCATAAAACCCACAGCAACAGACGATAGGCCTCATTTATGATGTTGACGTGACGCAAAAACTTTTGAACATGTTGAGTGGCAATTCAGGATGCAATCCTCACTAGCTGAATGAAAATCGTTGTTTCAAGACTAGTCTATATTGATACATCGTCTCACAGAATCGAGTGAAGTAGCTGAGCACGTTGACTACTTCCCTTACTTGAAAAATCAGATCGACCGTGATAAGTCAATATTTAAGAAGTCTTTACAGGAAAAAAAACGGTTGACTGACTTACGCCAAGTCAAGGGAAGCATAAAGATAGCGAGATATCCAACCGTCTTAAAAATGACACATGTGCCGAGCAGCAGTTAGCAGAATCTTATTCTATACCTAACCTCTCCTATGTAACTAGTTCACTAGTTACTAACCGGCCCTAAGCCCCGAGAAACACGGAAGGTTGGGCATACCGCTAGCAACTCTACCCCGTCAAACCAATCCAATCACTAAAGAAACTTCAAAGCACAAAAAAAGTATAAAAAATAAAACAAACTTATTACTAGCTGGAATCGGAGGAGACGAGACGACGCCAGTCGGTGTAAGCCTTCGGGAAATCAGTCGGCCGATGTGTCTTCGTCTCCCTCAATGAAAGGCAAAAGTAAGAATCGGGACATACAATATCCGCACCGTATATAAACCTAACAAGGCTGCCCAGATTGCCAAACAGACGAGAAGGTATAGCATAGAAAAGTCAGGTAGGAAATCTGACAAGAATCTTCAGACAGAATGGAATGGAATGCAATGCAATGGAAGTGGACTCTCCCAACTGTCAACTCGAGAGGAGTCAATAATCTACTCCAATATTGTCACACAGACGACACAACACGACACGACAACCACGAGCACAGCACACTGAGTTTTCAAATGGCTATCATGATGTCCCCTACCAACAACATCGAACACACACACACTTTCATTCAGTGGGAACCAATCTCCTCCTCAACGATCAGGATCAGAATCATCACAGCAAGATGAATTCAACTCAAAAGGAGGGAAAGTCACAATCATACAATGCTACGCTATGCACCCACAAATAATGCAGATCAGGAAGAGAAGAAGGAGGAATTCTACAGACAACTGAAATCAGTAATCGACGAGACCAAAACCACAGATAGCGACATCAAAATTCATTCTAATGGGCGACATAAATGCAAAACTGGGAGCGGACAACACACGAAGTGGAAGAGAACTCATCATGGGTCGAGAAGCACTCGGTGAAATGATCAATCGGATTGCAGAACTGTTTGCAGATTTCTGTGCATTCAACGATTTGTTGGCTGGAGGCAATGTGTACAAACACAAGGATATTCACAAGGCAGCGATATGGATTTGATTTCACCAGACACCACGACACACTAAAAATCACATCGACTTCATCTCAATGTGAAGAAAGTGGAGATGGAGACACAGCCAGTCTACTGGACACAAGATCAGATCAACAAGAGGAGCAGATATAGGTTCACATCACTCACTATCCAGTGTGAAGAACCTACCTTCAAAATCAAGTTGACAGCCTTCAAACAAGCTAGTGGTGATAGACCACACTTCAAGTTCGAGTTCAACAACCAGAACACAAACTGAACTGAAGAACGAAACTACAAACGACATCTTCACGTCAGTTAGCCATCAGGACAAAATGGGAGACATCAAGCAGCATCCCTGAAGAAACATGCATGAAATAACAATGGAACTCCTTGAGAGTGACGTGGAAGGAAACCTGTGCAACTGTATTGGCAAGGAAGAAAAAAGAAGACAAGCAATGGATTTCGACGATAAATGGAAGCTGACAGAGGAGGAAGAGGAAGATAGCGAAGCAGAAGATGAACCAGTGCAGTGCAGTGCAGTACAGGAATGAACAACGGAAACAGGAACTGAACACAACCTATAAAACACTACACTGCACAAAGAAGTGAAGAAGAGTTGGCGTAAACACAAAGAACACTTCTACAACACACTCGCAAGTGAAGCAGAACAGACTGCAGGTAGGAGAGACAGAGACCTGACAACATTAAATCAAATAACCAAAACAATATATGGGAAGAGATCAACACAGATGAAACCAATGAAAGATAGTAAAGGAAACTTAGTTACCAAAGAGGAGAAACAAAAGAAACGATGGCCTGACCACCACAACCACCTCCTCTACTGCAACTCGTCCAGAAATACCACCAGCAACCCAGCCACAAAACTATCAGAGAACACAAGCCCTCCACCGTACACCTGCTAAAATCCAAAAAAGCAATAGGACCAGATAGAATCCCACCATAAGAACTGTAAAACAAACACAGAGACAACAGCGGACATGTTCACACCACTACAACAAAAAGGTTTGCAAGGAAAGGTACATTTCAACTCGAAGAATGATGACCTAAGGATTTGCAAGAACAATCACTGAAGCAGAATCATGCTACTGTCCCTGTCAATCCAAAGCAAGCAAAAGATTAAGCCGCATCATCCTAGAGAGACTAAACAATACCCTGGATTCAAAATTACCACCGGAATAGGCTGGCTGGTTGGCTCCATTCACGAAGTACAAATCATGCAAGGATCAAATTGCAACCCTACACTACGAATCATCATAAAACACAGCATAGAATGACAGCCGAATGCATCTTCGCCTCAATTTCATCGACTTTGAATAGACCTTCGACAGCAACCACCAAGAAGTAAGTTGGAAACTGCTTCAACACTATGCTTTGACTGCCACAAACCTTTACCAACTTCATTCAACAGCTATGTGCTGTATGATGCTACATGCCAGCCAGGTAATTCACAATGCAAAGCTCAGTGATACTTTTGAAGTGAAGACAGGAGTATAACAAGGCTGCCACCTACTATCACCGGTCATCTTCTTGATTGTCGTCTACTGCACTCGATCATGCAGCAGACAACTGTGAGCAGCGAGGAGATGGGCATACGCTGCTGGCTGCACCGATGAAAAGACCACAGAACAAGATTTGGATTTCGCCACACATGATGATGATGATTTATGTCTAATATCCTGTCGCACCAACTCGAAGATCTACACGCGAAAACTAACAAGTTGACAGAAGAGGCGAGGCAGAGAAAACGGACTCCAAGTGAGTGTAGAGAAGACACAGGTGATGAAGATGACCAACCACCATCACCACCACTAACAACAACAAGGACCAATCATCATCAACTGGAGAAATTTAAAGGAAGTTGTCTCTTTCACCATCTACCCAAACACGACGCAGCATCGTTTCAACCACAGGTGGCACAGCCACACATCAACATCAGGGTGTCAAAGCACACACAATCAGAAGGACAGCAAGCAACACACCCCCTTCCTTCATTCATCTGAAATCAGTGTACAGATCTACTGCACTGCACTACACTGCACTCAGCATAAAGCGTGAACAACATCCGCATTTTCAACACTAATGTCAGTCAAGTAATTCAGTGCTTCCATCTGATGCTTCACAAACTTGACCGCGCCTTACGAAAGGCATCTCCAACAAACTACAGACATGCATCATCAACAGCTGTCTACGCCTACACCTACGATCACTCGATACTGATACTGACACTGAAGATCTGATGGCCAGAAAGAATAAACAACAAGGAACTCACTCTGACTGGCTGGCAACGAATCAATCAACAACCCACCGCCCAACAAATATGCAGAGGAAAGTAGAGATGGATTCGACCGGACATACACTGAGAAGACCGTTCGAGGACATCACGTGCCAGGCTAGGCCGTCGAGTGGAATCCAAAATGGGAAACGACGAGTTGGGGGTCCGAGCCAAGGGTGACATGGAGGAGATGGTGTGAGGAGGAAATGATGGCTTCTGGGCAGTTGTGGAGTTGGGTTAAAAAGACTGCAGAGAACAGAATGTAATAGAGACGTGCTAGTGAAACCATATGTTCCACTAGGAACCCAAGGGACAAATATAATAATATTCTATATCTATGAAACGTAATCCTTTAAATTAGAAGTCTTTGGATGTTGGATCACTGTCGCTGTCAAAAGCGTCCACCGACTTTTGTGGAACCAGTATGATAGTAACGTAAGATCATAAAGGTAATAACTATAGCTATCTTCTGAAAAAAATTTCAGCATGCAATAAAGACTTCTTCGTATGCGATATTGTGAAAATGCTACTCAATATACGATCATGTGAAAACAAAATAATAATAATCATACTTGATGACAACAATAATATCATAGATGACAACAAGCATACAATCTGAAGTCAGTTTGCTGCAAAAAGAAGTTGATCAATAAGACTTTTTCACTAACACTTCCTTTTCTATGTTGAATGACAGCTGAATAAGGTATAGTACAGTTCCTATATTAAGGCTGAGGTGCAAGGCGTTTTGTTTTCTTGTCGCTTATCTTCATTGAAGACTTACAAGCACAAAGCTCTAAATGAAGAGCATGTCTTACGCGTCATTAAAAAGCTGCTACCGTTTATTTGCGTGAATCGAGATCCCTGTCCACAATAAAGCTCGTCAGACCCGCCTAATAGCTACTACCTTTGAGTGGTGGTTGAGCTTGCATTTCGCAATGACCTGACGAGCTAGACTGACTGGAACACTTGCTCCTTAGAGGTCCTACTTCACCTCATCAGATACGTCTGCTGGATAGTGAAAAGACAGAAAGTAGTTGACATTATAGTGTAAATTACTACGCCGTGATGGAGACGACAGCGAAGCAGTAAGGATGGTTGGACAAGGCGTGACAGCAGTAAGGCATTCCCCGTAGATGACTGGCACTAACAGTTTGATGCTATCTTTCCTACTGGAATTAGGGAGGAGAATTAAAAAATGTAGGGCGAAGAAATAGCAAGCACACCGCGGTCCTTCCGGTGTCGGTCGCGGACCATAATGCGTTGAAAACACTGGTTCTCGTGCGATCACTGAAGTCAAACAACGTACTTGCTGCCGACCAACAGTTGCTACTAATCCATAAGGAGGTTCACAATAAATCAAATCTACATGTCTTTACATCACAAACAAAAGAAACATACCATTTCCTCCTCTGTAGTGGAAGATGATGTGAGTGATATATGAGATAACAGTTTGGTAACTTCACCAACTGACTGTGATTGGTCATCATCAGACATTTTACGCAGAACATCGACAGTTTTATTATGACGCTTGATTAATAATTGTAGAAGACTGAAAATAAACAACAAGAAAAAACAAGAAGATAGTATTCGGTTAAGAAGCAAATACTAATACACGCCAATCCTATTTAAGCGACGTACTAGGCTATGGATCAGGCTTAGTGTGTAAGAGCTTATGATATTCAATCACAGGTGTAGCTGAGTTCGAATTCAGGACCTATCGTTTGAATGTCAAATGCTTGGGCCAATGAGCCATCTCTTCACAAATTCAGAGGCGAATAACATACACCTCTTACCCTAGTGATACAGCCTCAATTTCAGTGAGTAAAATGAAGACTCCTAAAATACAGTAAGGGAAGGCAGTTTTATAAATTCTTAGTCACTGGACTCCCTATACAGTGATATGAAATAAGACGCTCCATTTTAGTTGCTTTATTACATGTAACACATAGTGGAACAGTATTGTTTACCGGATTGCTTTCCGGACACAATTTATTATCTACAGTCGAATCAAAGTTCACAACTTCGAGAAAAGGTTTATACAGTTTTAGTTCTCTCTCCTTTTTGATATAGGGAAAACTCTATTGTCTTTATCACGAAGGAGAGAGAATTAGAACACCGTTTAAGCCAATAACTAGTACTGCAACTTAGATCTGCCAATATACTAGGTTGTGGGACACACTTGCTGTAGATGAGGGCTTCTGATACTACTCGGCTGTTCAGATCGAAGTAGGTGGGGTGCAATTCAAACCCGGGATCCATCTACTGAAAGTCGAATTCTTAAACCAATGAGCTGTATCCCTACGGTTATGGAGTTATCTTGACGTGATAAAGGACAACAAATTGGGGTCTAACAAAACATCAACTAGAAAAAAGTGCGAAATAACATTTTACCACATGGTCCAAGGTTTACATGAAAAAGGGGTCTGATTTATATCATTTTAGCATGTCTTGAATACAGAGTGAAAAACTAATCATACTCAGCTAGCTGGCAATGGACTTCAATTTACATCAAAACGTTAGCGTATTCTTCAAGACTTCAGACAGCAGGACTAAAAAGGGAAGATTTTACTAAACTATCTAATCATACATAGTTGTATGCAGAATATCACATCTACACAGCAGTTAAGTTTCAAAAGGTTTCCTAACGTCAATATTTTTGCATCAATTAAGGTGTAGGACACAGGCGACCAGAAGGAACAGTATCTTCTAAACGCAACGGAGGATTTAATGAAGTTATAGAAGTCAGAGTGTTGGTATTCATAAGAGATGATCAAGATATTTCCCAATGCTCATAGAACTATGCAAATGACTGAGACTTTTCGATCGCTCGTCCACTTTTCTAACATATAGTTTAATGACTCATATTTCCATTGAAGCGCATGATAATAGTCTAGGAAAAACAATTGATTGCCGTCATATTTCCGTAACACGAGTAATACGGATGCCAAATTACTATGCACGTTAATTGTGTCATGGCAATAAAGCAGGGCTTAACTTAAACTGAATAACCTATCAATTTCCCTTCCTAATGTGGATGTATCTCATGAATCTTTTGACTGTAGTGTACCTCTAGTATATTGCTGAAAGACAAAAAGACGATACCAATGATTGTATGCCTCTTTATCTAAAGACAATTTTTTACAGAGCAGTGACAGACAAGCATTAATAAACCAAGTTTCAAGTAGCCATTTTAATTGTTAGATATTTCAACGCAGTTGACATGAAAAGCTTCACTGCTTATAAAATTAAGGGTGATAGTGACGGCATGAGTGAGTACTGAAGATAGTCGACTACCCCCTTGAGCATTCACACTTATACCACTTACTTTGATTGATACAAACCTGGTAGTATAACAAACCCTAGTTCATGTATCAACATTGGCTCATAACTAGGTGGTCGAGTTGTACATTTGTCGATTAATATCATTGTATATGAAGCTGTCTAGTTTTATTGTTGAAGGTTTACGGTTGAAGATTAAAGTGCTAGGGATATCTGATTCCCTGAAGTTGATCTTAACCGGCAATAATAATTTTTAATGCAACATGCTTTTTTCTGTCTACGGTGTGCGGCACTATTGAACACAGCATAATTCTTAATGATTGTTTATCTCCTTTTAATGTAACTAGCTTAAGGGCTTTAACGTTTGTCGTTAAATGGTCTAGGTGTAAAAATACACAGATTCTTCACACGAAGTAAATTCCTTCAGAAAATAAACCATATGAGCGAAGAAATATGTCTCTTCAGTTAGTTCCTCATCGATAGCTCTATACTAATATACAGTATTCTCAAAATATAAAATTATATAACAGTCTATTAGTTTGGTGTGTTGCACTATGAGCGAAATTTAATCAAATGTTTGGTCCATCAGGCAAGACGTTTCTGCTCAAATGACACTTTCGATGAAGAACACCAAACTGTCCACGACCTATTCAGTAGTAATGGATACCTAGAAAAGTTCCTAGCTAAGAATATGTAATATAAGAACCAGAGTACCTGCAGCTGCCAAGAAACCGTTATTCCTAAGACTACAATTTCGGGGTGACATCATCAGCGAAATTATGACAGCACGTAAGGAAGCTATAAGGAGATAATTCAATGAAGCAAAGTTATGCTGTGCATTCTGCGGTCGGCCGATGATGACTTCGCCTCTTCTATCTGTATTTACCAGTTCAACTGTTCCTGTACAGCCAGTTACATTAGGTGAACAGTTAGGCAAATACTTCATTGAATTACCAAACAACATCTGCAATGCTTAAGTAAAGAGCGAAGAAGATCGATAGGAATCTCAATAATCTGAGTGACACTCGTCACTGACTTAATATTCATGCTATACGAGTTCGTCTTTTACATATACCAGAAGCTATCGGAATTCACCTGAACAAATTGAGTCTATATATTTCGAAGAAATAGGCACAGCCTCTTTATTTGCCTTGCTCATCTATCAAAAAAACAAACATCGCCTTGGTTGTATTATGTTCTCTGAGCTGGGTTGTTGAATCGTGAAGCTTTCATTATCTTTCTAGCTATCCTGCTCTTCCCCTCTTGTCTGTAATTACCGTTAACAAGTGACCACTTGACATAAAAATTCGCTCTCTTTTCTCTTCATATTCGTTATTATTACACAAACTATCAATTACACAGCAACCTGTTTAAAATTTCATGAATTTTAACATGTAATTATTCCATACTTTAGCTACAGTTGTTATTATCTTGATTAATTATCACCCTCTTGATACTTTTAGAGAGAATACCATATATTCGTGTAGAGCCATCGAAGGCGGAACCAATTAGACAGAAATATTTTGTCGATCACATTGTTTGTTTTTTAAATGTTCAAACAGGAACTTTTGCACTACTAAATTCCTCCAGTAAAAAAAAAGACTTTGACTTCAGGATTTTGTACTACTTGAAGTTGTGGCAAAACATTTAGTGAACACCGACCGATTATCATTTCTACCTTGAGTTGAAAATATTCTGGATTACAACATAGTTACCGTTTATCAGTAAAGTGCCTTCAAAAACATGGGATTCGATGCTATCAAGCTGATCGGAACTTATGTCACCACGAACCGCCGATATTAGGAGAAACTTACTAATAAATTCACTGATTTGGAAATCCATCGCTGTATGAGGAAACACTACCATGTATGCATAGATTGCCAGGTGAAAACCATGTTAACGCTTTTATATTGAGTTCTGAGAGAATTCAACCGATAAAAGGATCACATATGTTCGTATTACTATATGCAGGCATACGCTAATCTATCAAACCAGGTGTCAGATGTGCATCGTTATTTAACTCGCTACAAGTAAGTTAATACAGTTGTATAAATTCATGCCATTATTTATTAACCTGAAGAGAACAATTCAAGCACCAGAACGAGTGATGGGTAGTATGAATAAACACACGAAACAATCAAAGAAGAACAGCTCAATGCAAACAGTTTAAGTTGAAACAAATATAGAACAAATTAAACGCCGCTTACTTGACTAATGTATCACAAGCATATGGATGAAGTTTGGTGATTCGCGGCGACAAATTAGCCAAAGCTGCCAAAATATTCACATGAAGGTATTTGTCCTAACAGTAATCAAAACAAAAGATTTATGCATCATTTAGATACAATCAGTTGAAGTTGCCTCCAATTCACGTAACATATTAGGAAAGATAAACAAAACAGAAACTGCTGTGTTCGAAGAAATCTTCAGCTCAGGATTTAAATGATCATTGCTGACTGTTCTTAATGCTTGAAAAGAAATATCATTACCTACCATACGGGAATTCATCAGCACTTTGATCATAAGAAGGCACTGTAGACTAGTGATGAAATTTTGTAGTATTCTTCGAGTCGCTGGTTCGAATCCTGGAATGGCCGAGATTTCCATTTCACCCTCAACTCCCACCCAATATCAATACAAGTCTGACAAACGGCAACCATATCATATCATCAAACTGATAGTATTCTCATGTTTATCGTAGTCTAAGTTAACTTATTTTACTTTTATGGTTGAAGCTCACTGGTCTCAGCACTCGAATTTTAACCAGTGTGTCAGGGGTAAGAACTCCACTCAGCCATCTGAGATTTAGATAGCCAGGTAATATCATTAGCCTTCATACAATAGGTGTGGCCGTGACCACTGTTTGGCATACGTTAAGTCGGCACCTGTCAAATATAAGATGAAGCTTTAAGACTGGTCAGTAGCTTCATTTATTTTAAGCATAAGAAATGAAGTGTTGGAATGCGTCAACCACTTTACCTACTTGGGGAGTTGCATCAGCCAACCCGATAGGATGACTTCTGACGAAATCTCAGCGCGGATAAAGAAACACCATTCAGCATTTCCCCAACTAGCATCATCTGTGATCATAGGTGTCTCTGTAGCATTGTTCGCGTTTGGTGGAGTCACCGTGTGAGCATTGTTGAAGTCTGGTGAAGTATGTCATGAAAGAAAGGCAACTCAGTCGATGAGGTTTTGAACCTTCCATCGACTGAAACGGCTTGGACATGTACTGTGCGTGCCGAGCCACTGGTTACCTCGACGTGCCATGTTAGGGGAAGTTGGATTCGGTTGAGAGAGGGTTCAGGGTGACCAGACCAGGAAGTGGCACCAGTCAATAGAGTCTCTGACTGTTGGTTTGAGCTGAGTAGGGAGGAGTATAAACTGCTTCGCTGGAGTCGCTAAGATGATGGGAATTATTAGTTGAGGGGTCTTGGTGACATGCCTGAAAGCGTCGGTTACAATGGTGCAGATGTGTATTCACTCTGATATCTTCTAAAGGTTGAATGATTTGACTAACCTTAATTTTTAGATCCGCTTTCTTCCTATACACCCTTATATACTTTGATATAAGTCTTTTTCTACCCATCTGCCCATTGTATGGTATTGTGAACTATGGCAACTTGGACCGATGCACTTGTGTGTATGCGAGAGGTTACACATTGATTTTTTATGTTATACAAATGAGTAATTATGTAACAACTTTTTTTCAACTTTTCACTATTTAATTATTCTATGCTCTATGCGTAACCTACATTTACTTGACACGTTGAAATCAATTATGAAATAGTGGGGAATATTTGTAGCTCAGGTGGATGGTCTCGGTTGTATGGTGTTCTCTGATCTGGGTTGTTTAGTCGTGAAGCTCTCATCGTCTTTCTAGACATCATCAGCATTAATTTCAGTATGATGTGAGCTGTCAATATCTCTGCACGAGTGATTTAGTAACTTGCCTTGATGAAGTAGTCTGTGATTGGTTATTTCCCTTCATCGTTGTGTCATTGACTACATTGATTTTCCAGTTGGCTGTGCCTCTGCTTCACCTCTGACCTTCCTATCGTTTATTATTTTTCTCATTGGTTGATATAATGGGTCTATGTCTATACATCTATTGATTGGTGACTGATCTGAATGTAACGCTTCTAGAATTACTCTGATATTCCACTCTTAGTCCAAAATTTCTACATTGTCGAAATTGAATTCATGTTCATAGTTGCTATCCATGTGCATTGAAATGAGTGATGAAATGTCATGATGTTTAATAGCCAATTGGTGTTCATGCAGACGAAGGTGAAGAGGGCGACCACTTTGTCCAATGTAGTGTTGACTACAGTTATTGTAGTTGATTTTGTAAGTGATAATCGGTTTGTCGTGTTTGGTTGTTGTATCCTTTGGTCTGCATAATAGTGTTTGGAGGGAATTTGTTGGTTTATGGGCCACACCAATTCCAAGTGGTCGCAGTAATCTTGTCGGGATTTCTGATACCTGAAATCAATTATGTTTTCTAGTGGCTAAAGATTTCACCACTAGAATCCTATTGCATTGATTAATGTGAAACGTATTAGTGTTAAACCCTTGGTAAGCAGTTGATTGAATTGTTGTTCTCTAAATATCGAAATGAAAAATCTTCACATTATACCAGACACTGTGAATAAATGAAAAGTATGTGTCCCTTATAGTGAGAATAGGAGAACTAAGGACACTACAGTGAACAATTAGGAGTAATTAGATTGGTATACACCTACATTCACAATACAATAGTAAGTAATTACACAAGAAATTGACACAGCATGGCATGAAGCACACGAGCAAATAACAGCTCATTATAATATCCTATGGTCGATAAAATTAATATTTACAAATAAAAATTTATGTAATAATAATCCAATAATAATAATCTAATAATTGTGAATGACTTAAATAGTACTTTAATGACTGCATAGAACGGATGTCAGTGTCGAGAAGACACAGATAATAAAGATGACCAACTACCACAACCACCACCACCAACAACAACAAGAACCAATCATCATCAACTGGAGAAATTTAAAGGAAGTTGTCTCTTTCACCACCTACCCAAACACGACGCAGCATCGTTTCAAACACAGGTGGCACAGCCACACATCAACATCAGGATGTCAAAGCACACACGATCAGAAGGACAGCAAGCAACACACCCCTTCCTTCATTCATCTGGAATCAGTGTACAGATCTACTGCACTGCACTGCACTCAGCACAAAGCGTGAACAACATCCGCACTTTCAAAACTAATGTCAGTCAAGTAATTCAGTGCTTCCATCTGATGCCTCAGAAACTTGACCGCGCCTTACGAAAAGCATTTCCAACAAACTACAGACATGTATCATCAACAGCTGTCTACGCCTACACCTACGATCACTCGATACTGATACTGACACTGAAGATCTGATGGCCAGAAAGAATAAACAACAAGGAACTCACTCTGACTGGCTGGCAACGAACCAACCGACAACGCATGGATTGGACTGGGCATACATTGGGAAGACCATTTGGGAAAATCGCGCGACAGGCCAGGCCGTCGAGTGGAACCCAAAATGGGAAACGACGAGTTGGGCGTCCGAGCCAAGGGTGACATGGAGAAGATGGTGTGAGGAGGAAATGACGGCTTCTGGGCAGTTGTGGAGTTGGGTTAAAAAGACTGCAGAGAACAGAATGTACTGGGGATGTGCTAGTGAAGCCCTATGTTCCACTAGGAACCCAAGGAACAAATAATAATAATAAACGGACGTACACACAACTCCAAAACAGTTAGCAAAACCTTTTCATTAAACAGCTAAAACAAAAGTAAAAACCTGAGTTACAGAAATTTGAATTCGTAACTTTCAGGTTAGATACCTACCGTGAGTCGGAATTTCACTCCAACTTCAAACAGTATCCTATTACAATATATCAATCTGTGACACTGAGACTGTCATAAGCACCCATAGCCGAAACAAGTCACACTTAAAATATGACGTCTAAACGTACTACCTCGTTATCTCAGCTGACGTACGAAGTGTGTAATTCTAACATATGACCTACTTGATTGATAGTCAAGAGTGCGTCACTACGTCATACTCGAGTTACTTATCAACAGGTGAATGGCTCTTTCAGTCTAGTATGCATGTCCACCACTAAATGAATAATGGATTGTAGCATCACTTATTTATCATTGATACTGGATGATGATTGAAGGTAAAATGGAAAATTGGGACACGGCGAGATTCGAGCCAGCGACCATCAAGTTTCCTGCACAGTGCTCTACCAAGTGGGCTATGAGACCCAACAGCACATAGAATACATGGAATAATACAAATGTATGAAAAATATGAGATAAAAAAGTTACACATAAACACATCTCACCTTTAATTGATTTAAATGATACTGAATGGTACGACAAAGCACTAAAACAGTTAAACTCCCATAGGAAACATTTGATAGTCGACGATTTGCTGACCACTGAACCCATTTGATTTCCTAAGAAGAAAAACTTACCATTAGAGATTGACAAATATTATCAAGTCTTACCTCTGCAAATGACTTAGTCTACCTACTTTACATACACCATAGAACAGCACATGGAATAGTGAAATTCACTGCAAATAATTCACATCAGTTGAATGTAAATACATCCTCATATGCGGACCTTTCATGCGAAGACAAGGACCCAATACTCATTTATATCCCCATCTATGAATATCATGATATTCGTATCTAATGCACCAGTGTCACAATAACAACAATTACTTCCCGCGATATGAGTACGGACTGATATTATTATTACTAATCTTCTGTTTAAGATTTACCACTTTTTGACAATAATTACAAACAAACGGTGACGAGAGAATTAGTAGGATATAACATATCCGACAATATTATATAAAATAATCACGTTACTATCTGGGAGGAAGAGATCAACACAGATGAAACCAATGATAGTGAAGGAAACTTAGTTACCAAAGAGGAGAAATAAAAGAAACGATGGTCTGACCACCACAACCACCTCCTCCACTGCAACTCGTCCAGAAATACCACCAGCAACCCAGCCACAAAACTATCAGAGAACACAAGCCCTCTACAGTAAAGTTGCTAAGATCCGGAAAGGCAATAGGACTAGATAGAATCCCACCTCAAACACAGGAACCCAGGGAACAAATAATCATAAAAATAATATTTGTATCTTCAGAACTGTTTTTGGGAAGTTAATTTTGGTTAGAAATAGTTACATGTTCGAAGGCTGTAGCAATTACTTGCCATGAAAGTTAGGTACTGATTGGATAACGAAGGAGGAGCATAATAGCGGCTGTACGTCTGGTTGTAGAGGAGGACAAAATAATCATGACAATCGCATTTAGTCAAACGAACATAAAAGTCACAGTACCTGTGTGTTGCTGTTTCGGAGTCTCCCACCCCCTAAGCTTCTAATTCACTCACAAACACGACGCCGTGCAGTAAAGACCAGTCTGCTAAACCATCTTCTATACAAAATGGTCTCAATAGGAAAGGAACAACTTCAATCCAAATCGTGTTTCATGGTGTCATCACGTGAGTAAAACGAGTCAGGTGTAGAATTTTAGGGAGGAGAGGTAAGTCAGTTGATGCGAATGTGAACCTTCGCTGACCAAGATGGCTTGAACATGTGTTACGTATGCCTAGCCACCGTCTGCCTCATCGTACAATGTTGGCCGTAGTATGTTCAGGCAGGAAAAAGGCTCGGGTCGTCAGACTAAAACTTTTTATCAATCCAGGAAGTCCTTGACTGTTCCTTTGAGCCATGTACAGTAATGCAGACTAGCCGGTTGGGGTTTCCAGGTAAAGAGAAACCAGTGGTTGAAGACTCCAGGTGATATGGGTTAGAACCAATGTCAGTTGAGCAGACGTTTACACAAATTATTTCCATCTCAATCGCTATCATTATTCTCTTCATTTTTAAACTCTTCCTTCCTTTCCTTTACGATTTCCGACTTCTTTTAACCGTTGTTTCTTTCTTTCTTCATTTTGATAAAAGGTGTGGCAACTTGAACCGTTACGCAGTGACTCCTAGTCCCAAGCTGATTTTAATGATGGCGAATCTAAATAAACAAATATGAGTTCATAGTCCATTATCACATTCATTATGATGCTGATTCATTTTCTAGCCTTCTTCATATCTGTCAAGACGAAAACACCCAAATACCTTACAACCCTAACCTTCTAAAATATCATACTTTCCTAATTTCTTCCTTGGCCTTATGGATTATTAAATGACGTTCTTTTTATGTGCAGAAGCAATCGTCTAATCTGATCTTGAACACTAGGCTAGTGACATGAACGCCACCCTATAATTCCCTAGAAATAATAATAGTAATGTGTTTCGTATTCGTAATATACATAGGGTATGTTACATTTGTGTACAACAACTGGTAGTCTGTTTTCTTTACCATTTCATATCCTTCCTTTTCCGCTAATAATGCCTACTCACTATATCTATCATTTTTTCGCCGTATTATTTTTTGCCAAGTTTGGTAACTTAACCCACTACATTTTTACTTAATTGGTGATTTCATTTGCAAAATGTTATGAAAATTTTGACTGGAGCCAGTCTTATTAGAATTTGTCTTTAGAGTAGTGATCTACCTAATACTACAGTAAATATTAATTTTATAGACTACAAGATCAGCACTTGACCTGATAGAGTTGAATAAATTGAGCATTAAGGAAATGGATTATAAATAAAATATATTTGTAAAAATCTCAATGAGGTAGAAAAATAGATTTCTGATATTTTGCAACTTCATGGAAATCGTTTCTTCACAGAATAAAACCTACACAAGTTATTACATATTTAAGTGGTAAATGATGACAAATCAGATCACCTTGTTCATATTCTCTGAAGAAGCGATTTCTATGAAGTCGCCAACTTCAAAAACTTTTCTACTTTATTGAAATTTTATAAATATAATTTATTTATAACTAAATATTAAATATAGAAAACAGAGGAAATTTGAGCTATACTCTTTCGGTAATTTTAAGATGCGATAAAAAGATTCATTTTTTGAATCTTAGAAATAATGTCAACCTTTTGTTTTATATTTAAAATATACTCAATACAACACAGACATCAGAAAGTGCAAAGTAAAGAATAATGTAACGATATTAGGAAGATGTAAATGTGATATATCAAAAGAAAGAAACGTAAAACGGTGCAAAAGTATGGTAGAACTGAGAAGAAACAAATGAAACATACATACAAAAACGCATTCATCACTACCTTCGTTTTGTATTTTAGTAATAAAACAAATGATTGATTGACAAAATCAATGTAGAACCTTGCACACAAGTATCTTGGTTCAAATTGCCACACTTCATAGTTGTGTACAAAGAACAGATGGGTTGAAAAAGAGTGATAGCAAAGTAGGCAAAGTTGTGCGAGAAAACAAACAATTTGAAGATAAAAGGTTGTTGTGAATATTCAAGCTTTAGAAGACGTCGATTTTCAGCCATGTCACCAAAAGTCCTCATCTACCAACTGATTTCTTTGATCTCGGGGACCCCAGCCTGGCAGTCTACATCTCTTTCATACAACTCAGACTAACAGTAAGAGACTTCATCGACTGGTGATACGTCTTAGTCTGGCCACTATGAACCCTCTTCCACGTGAATCCCTTCCCCCCCCTCCATCAACATGGCACATAGAGGTGGGCGGTGGCTTCAGCATGCGCAAAGAAATAAGAAAGTTGAAGCATAGTAGCCACTGGTTTCGACTCTAAGCCATGTAGACCATCGTCTCAAGTCACTGGGTGATCTATCAGACTCTATCCACGGAATCGTAAAGTATAAACACCTACTAACCGAATACAGCTATCCGCCATCATACGGTATCACTTCTTGTTTTCAGAAATAACTACTCACCAGCATTGTGGTTAAAAATCAAACTACATTGAGCAAAGGTTGTATTGGTAGTAATCGATAGTGAAGCGAAGGTTTTGTGATGAAGCAAAAATCTAGGATGGAAAGATAATTGGTCAGTTTGTGTGCAGTAAAGTATGTTTATAGCATACATGTGAAGTAAACGTGTAAGAATTAAAATCATCTGAATGTATCACATTTGATTGACAACGAAGAATAAAAGAAATTGAAAAATGGTAGGTCAACTCACTAATATATCTAAAAACTTCTGAATCAGTTACCAGAGACCAATTTCTCAACTTTGCTCAAGTTTATTGCAAAAGTTATTCAGAAAATAATAATCATAAAACGAAAGACTTTATGATTAACTCACTGTTGTGTGTATTTCCCGTCCAAATTGTTCATTCTCAGTAAATATAAGTAGCAGAATTAACGCCATATAGACGAGATGTGAGTTATGTGATTGTGATTTGTAGAGAATATTTAATAGTGGTGGTAACTAGAGTGAAAATAGTTACATAACGGAAATTCAATACAAATCAGTTCAAATAATAAAAGAGGACTCATGTAAATATCCAAACAGACCATTAAACGACTTAAAATGCTGAACACTCTTTACCAATACTGTCAAAGTATGATAATCGATAAGAATAAGTAGCTCACTCAATTGTCGACTCAAATGTTGAAATACCCCTTTAATAATTGAGAACCTCTTCAAGTGTGTTATGTAGGTAAACTGGAGGAATGCTAATAAAGCAGCAAAAATGTATGCATGTAATTTTTTCGAAAGTTTCTTGTTGGAATAAGAGTGAGAAGTGATTGATTGTCTAAGTATGGATCCACTTCATTTCCCAGTAATTGATTAATTGTCATATCCCGAGAATTCATTATGACAAATGTCTTATTCAACCATGTTACTTTTGATCGTAACGCTTTTTCGCAACTAGAAGCTGGTAACTGAGTTTTTATTTCTGTAGCCATGTGAAACTGGTCAAATCATAAAAGTTGACATTCACATATAAAACCTTGTAGTTTCAACATGTTTCCATTTTCAAGCCACTCCAGTTAGAAAGTAGTTAAAAGGTTTAGTGGGAACTATTGCGTCCGTCACCCACATCCCCACCCGTTCAAAGTATAGTGAAGCTGAAAACACCATAAACTTTTTCTACGCCTTTTTGTAGCTTTGATGTAGATTACACATCTTTATTGTAGGATTCAAATTAATCTGATGAAAGGAACTCAAGAAGGATAGAAATTTATTATAAACTTCTTATAAAATCACATTTGTGCAAGTTGACAACCACCACCATAACACATCTGCACTTTTTAAGTTGACTCCCAGCTACAGTCAATAACTCTACAGACAAATATCATATGTGTACATTTGATCATTTATAATTTGTTTTAAACTAACCGTAAAATCCAACATCGTGATCACCAGGTGCTTGATATGTGTAGTGTACAGATAAAATGCAGTACGTCTCAACCTTTTATTGGTTCACTATCTTAATCCTATACATCAACACTCTAATGATGGATCGTGGCTAGCAGGGGAATCCATGACGCGCATTTTGTCCTATTTGGGACTCGTCAGCCGAATGTGAGTGTTGTTTCCGCTAGGATTCGGACTCGGGAATGATCGCTTCAAACGCCAGAGCGTTATCCACTACGCCACCGAGCCACTTCTTGAGCGACGGGTATAGTTTTAGTCGGTGCAGTCAACGACGGTATGATACAAAAACAATTATACTAATAACATACACTCATTAGATTTACCTTAGTTCAAGTAGTAAGGCTATATAGCTTTTTGAAAATAAGACAGTTAGAAGGCAGTATAAATCAGTACAAATGACAATATTTATGAAACAGGCTATGAAGCACACTTGATGTGTAACACTCTCCATGACTGTTCAAATTTCCATGCAACGGAACACACTTCAAACATTTAAATTGCTGGTTAAAAATCGAGTATGTGTTTAAAACACCCGCACATTTATTGAGTACGGAGAAAATAGGAAACAGTGTTGTTCGGAAAAAACAACAATGAGTGAAACTGCTAGCCAACCTAAACAAATGTGCATTTTCCACCAAACAATCGTTTCTCCTTTCATAAAAACGACAAATTACATTAGCAGTGTGGTTAGAAAAGTTCCATTCTTCATCTTCAACTTCATTGTCCTTTTACTTGATGTACTGACACGAGCTGTGGTAACTTGGACCGTTACGCAGTAATGCCTAGTCCTATGTTGATTTGGATGGATGGCTTAGAAAAGTCATCTCAGAGACAGTAGAACCCTGACTCATTTTAGTAGGCAAGTGACTAATAACTAAAGGACAATCTGATCAATCTCCCTTCCATCCATGGAGGGTTCGAATCCCAGATATATCTTAATGCATAGTACACGTATTTGTATATGGGTGTTAGGTTGTTTAGTGCATCAAAAGGAGCGAAGTCTTCAAACAACACAAGTTTATCACGAAACTATTAATGCTTCATGAGAAAAAATATCAACCATGCTATTCAAATGCAAAACCATTCTACAAACAGACAATTACTTACTAATTTCTCATATCCTCTATCTTGCATAATGAATGTATGAAAGTTTGCATTTCGATGTAACAAAAGGTATAACAGCAACGGGCTACTATCTTGTGATAAAGTTGAAGCAGCTGTATCACAGATTGCAGTGAAATTTATGTAAGGTGATGACGAATGGGTTACAATATTCAAATGTCCATTCAATGTAGCCCCACCTGGTTGTAATCGAGGCGCTGAAGGGACGAAATTATATACATATAACAATCATTGAAATCAGAATAAATGATAGTTTAAAGTACTCATTACAGTAAAAGCATATGCACGCTAGTGTAGTGCACAATGAGACACATTTAATGTGTAGCACACTGAAGAGAAGTTCAAACCTGTGAACTCACTAGTCAGCTGAAAATCAACAATCTACACCAATGAGCTACAATTGACAAGAAAATAAATACTTCCAGCTTTTGGGGGGAAACCCACCGACAAGTTATTTTCGATAGCACGAAGTTAATTTACGACTGGTAAGAACTTTAGTTAAGCAAAGGGATCAAGAGACACCAACCACTTTAAAAAAACAGTAGTGGGAAGCTTTTTGTCATGGTTTTGAAAGGTGCTTCAATGTTCTCATATTATTCATCATTATTAATTTACCAATGCTGACTTAATGTAATGATTTGAACATACTAAAAGAATATTTCGAAACGACTAAAATAATGTAGTAAAAAATATAGTAAGCCATTTAGAAAAGTACACAAATATCAACGGTGACGATTACAGAATAATTTGAAAAGCTAAAAGTTGAGATACACAGTTATGTAAGATTCTAAATTTCTGGTCTGGTTGCACTGATGAACGAAACACGATTTCTAAACAACTCGCTCAAGTAACATGAAGAAGATAGAGCTGGATTGTAGAAGTTTACTTCAACCAGGAAGCGTACATTGGCTATGAGTTTATTTGCTTGGTTTATGTACAATGACAATGCCCTGTAGGTAGGGTATATAAATTAACATACTGAAAGCGAAAGAAAAGCCAAAAAGAAACTGGTCACTGACCGAGTAACAAGAACATACGGTGAATATAAGGCGGGGCAAAGGTGCGAAAGAGAGAAATTTGTATTCTTATTAAGCAATTTCAATAAACATAAGCAATGAGCGTTCATTTTCCGATGTTTAATACCCTCGACTTTGGTTCCTTCACTCACAATATAACTGTTTACATTTACTTAAAACCTGCTTTATAGTATTGTTGTATAGCTCAATTAAAGATGTTTTTATTGATTCCTCACTGAATTCCATACGATTGACGATTGCGAAATAATTGTATGTATGCAGACTACAATAGAATGAATATTCAGGCAGTATCGAGGCATACGCATAGGAGCCCATCTATCAACAGAGGTTCAGCAACTCGGCCCTGTATAGCAACGGGAAATTACAAGTATCAAAATAACAACCGTTGCACATGAGGTGGCTATCGTTCCCCAGTGGTCTAGTGGATAACACTTTGGCATTTGAAGCTATGGGTACTGGGTTCGAGTTTCAGTGGGAACAATATCACTGATTGAGGTGCAGGTATATCCCGCCGACGAGTTTCTGATAAGATGAGACGTGCGTCCTAGACTCCACTGTTAGTCACCAAGATGAACATGGGTTAAACCAGTTCAACTGAAGGCTACTGATATGTCTACGAGGTGACTCTGAGCGCTGGATCGGTAACAAGATCACCTGACTCTGAGTATATCCCGAAACTTGAAAGCGATAACACACAGAGACGGACAGATAAAACTAACATAGAACATCGTACACATGTCCAGCGATAACAAAATGTAATGATCAAAACATCCGGTGGCAGCGACTTTTAACAGTATCACTAATCTTTCACTTCCTATTTTGCATCTCTTAACTTTGTTGGCTGTACTAGTTGGAAATGTAATAACATTGAAAGACAACATTATGTCAGATTCAGCATTTTCTTCATACCCCATAGCATTGTTAACTGTACTTATGTGCACAGTCTAGCAGGTATGAATATATGACTGAGTTCTTGAAGCCATTTACAGTACAATACTGAGACTCATGTCGCATAGCATCACAGACACGTTAACCGAAGGTTAACTTATCAACACCTTAAGCAATGTTCAGAAATATACCAATGACTACTCATAAAAACAGAATAAGCGAACATAAAAAGTGTGCTATCACACTAACTTGACTTGGGTAGTACATGAGTTGAGTCCATAATGGAATCCACTTGATTCTTTTGGATAGTTTCATCTTGTAAACAAAAAAGTGTATTTCTGTATGGATTACGGCCTAAAGGATTGGAGTCTTTAATACCATTTTCAGAATACATTGATAGTGATTTCTCAATAGATCCAGCCTGAGTAGTAAGTACTAACAATAGTAATGAGCTGACATTTGATAATAAATAACATTGGTCAACAGATTTGGTAGTTGATTCAGATGTTATAAGATCGGTGGCAGGAGTAACTTTCGCTGGTTCTACAATCGTAACATGAGAATTATTCAGTGTCTCAAACTTTGTTGAGGTGTTAGTGCTGCGACTAAAATAGCCACCAAGCGTGACAATGGTGAGCAAACCACCTAGAAAGAAGAAAAAATAAAACTCAGTAATAACACATAGACTTTTGTAGAAGCTAGGATAAAAATTTAACCCGATAGAATAAAAAAATGTTGAATACTGGCTAAATGGTTTGTAATTTTGTTTGTCAACGAAACATCAGTTAGAGAAACAGGGAGATCTTGGGAGAACTGGACAGCTGTTTCGTCCTAGTATGGGACTTCCCGTCATTGCGCATCCAGGATCCCACTAGAGATTGAACCCATGACCTTCAGGTTTTGCGGCCAGCACGTTACTATTGACCCACCGAATCGGAATCCGATGATCCATATTTTCTACTTCTGTCACTTCCATCTGTCACATCCATCCAATAGCATCGTTGAGTAACTGAACTCATATCCAACTTGGTTGGCCCAATCGGTCACGACTTCTCATTAGAACTTCAGAAATCGCCTCTCGAAGCGAGTAACCATATTAGGATGAAACAGTTTTCGAATGTGTCTCCAACTAATGTAAGTCCATGATGAATATCAACCTAAAATCAACAAATAAATCTCCACAAACCTCCAAATTGAAGCGAAACATGGTTGTAGAAAGGTGCTGGAGGTGTAGCTAAGTGGTTTAGAGAGGAAACTACCGACCATTGGGTAGCAGGTTCGAACCCTGCCTCACCAACCGAGGTTTGGACAGCCAAGTAGTATCACTGGTACTCATACAATAGATGTGACTCATTGCCTACTCCATGGATGTGCATAAGGTGGCTGAGTGCGTTTCGTTTCGTTCATTCACTGGATAACCCAGAAACAGCCAAATTGACCCCTACCTTCACCCAGATTTACTTTCAACTTCAATAATCACTCCATTATATTAAAATTAAATGGCAACTTAAGATACTGGCTAACTGGCAAGACCGAATAAATAAAACAGTCAGTATGTGTACTTCATATAATTCGGATATAAGAGTGTGATACGATTTGATATTGGGTACTGTTATGACGACTCAAAAACCAATATTAGTGCACTTTAATCTGATCTTCAATTCGATCGACTAACAAATAAGAAGTAGACAGAGTAGGAGAAAACTGAATGAGTTTTCAAAAAACGTACTGATGCATATTAGTTAAAATTGAATACCATATTCACTTAAGGAAAATAACGACGTGCAAGTACAGCTGTCGGTCAAAACTTCACGAATTTATTTTCGGTAGAATTTTCCTGCTGTGAGCAGAAAGTGTTCGGAATACACATAATCAACTATAAGATGGTCTACTGGACTTTCGGAGGTAGTTAATTAAATAGCAAAAATGAAATCTAGATGGAACCAAGTTTACACGAATAACAGCTCCTTATCCTAGTTCTTTATGCTTCAGTGACAGGTGAGACTAAAAGTTACCCCCAAGTGTCATGACATTCTGTCTGGAAATATGTATTTTATGTATTCTGTACGTATATGTTCTGGAGTGAAAACTGTAATCATACATCTTTTTGGATGTAACTTGAAGCCCAAACTAACTCACTGTGATCTGTGAGCATCATTTATCCTCGAAGTGCAGCCAACACTTTGGACATAAATAAACGGTTTGAAACACGATTCAATGGGAGACAGGATTGCGAAAGCTATGCAAATAGATAAAATATTCCTAGAGAACACAGAAAATGTTCCTGTTTTCACAAACAGCCATACAACCTGTGGAGAGCACGATAACACCTGGCTTTCTCCTTCAGAGAGTCATGGAAAGATTAGAATACAAAGCATAGTTTGTGGTTCCAAGAAAGATTTTAACGAATTGAAAACGCATCACACATAAACTATCTCCAAACACTTAAAAAGATGACCAAATAACTTATTCTTATCGGTCCACTAAAACTGAATCCTCCTACTGTAGTCATCATGACCACGCAGCAGATCAGATCAACAACTGAAACTCAAAAACTTCTGCTTCAACAACTAAAAATATGAGGTGTTAATTTGTGTTTTGACCACCTCCCATTAGACTACTTACCCAAAGTACAAAGTAAACTGAATTCACACAAAAAACCTTTAATGATCTTTAAAAAACGATAAAGGCACGACTAAACTACGTTTTTATTTTGGATAACCTAATAACTGAACTGAAAACCATGTAGTAGGATGGTTGGTCTATTTATATCATTACAGAAATAAACAGAATAACGTAGACTTGCCTGCAATCGACGATGCTGCCCGCCAAATCAAACTATATTGTTCGATGCCATGCAACAGTGAGGGAACAGGTCGATTCTCTGAGAAGTTAGATATCAAACGGCAAACCAAAGCAGGAGCAAGAGGTGCACTGAAATGTATTAAAAATGACAGTAAGAAGATGACGAAAATATAAAACGAACTGTATCACCCACTTTATACAGTAAAATAGGATACTGATATCTTTAAAATCTTATCGAAATGCAGCTATGGATGACGACCTTTTTAACACTGACCTGTCTAACACTATATAATAGCGAATTAGCGTAAATCTTGAGGCCTCAGATTTCCTCTAACACATCTGAACACCCTGCTTGCCCTGAAGTAATGAAAGTGTCTCAGAAGAGCTGAAATAGCTTACAGCTAAAGCTGTTCAGGATTCAATTTAGAAATTAATACTCACTACTACTTCATTCCAACCTAAAACTGCACGTTTATCGCCGTCCATGACAATCTTCCGTCGGTGCTTGATAGCAGTTAACATTTTCCATGCTACTCGAAGAAGACTAATACCTTCAATGCTACATACGTTATGAAGGTCTATTCTAAAGATGTGAATATCAATACCCTCATTCCAGAATGGTGGGACACTCTCAATCTACCGTGCCGAGTCAAACAATCTAATCAATCCCCTTACTACTGTTTCTGCCGCACAAAGCCAGCTAAAAAACTTTCGAAGTGCTTTGCCAAGCTTTTTAGGGTATCAACAAAGGTTGTTGAGTGGTATGTCGTCTACCTGCCAAACCATCTAACTGATGCCAGTCTTCTCACGGTTAGTAGCTCAGATGAGCTGAAATGGCTTACAGCTAAAGCTAGATGCAACCACTGCTTCGATTACACTCATATTCTGACCACAAAGGGAAGCAGTTTTTAAGTATGTGGAAACGTTCTTGTTCTTTTTAACACTACCCTTTATAGGCAGAAGAATCTACATAGGACCTGATCCAAGCAAGCGTCAACCCAAGTTCTAGTGCTTAGCAACAGTAACCTACTTACTAGATCCCAGTGAAATGCTTGGAATAATCTTCTTTGTCAATGTAAAATGTATTTTCATTGTGCACTTATCCGATGACCTTGTGACATCGACAACCGGCGTTGCTGGTGTTTATTTTGCACTAACTGTTAGAGTCGAAACGGCATTGGCTGGCTTGGTCTCCATTAACAGTCTTCTGTGCTGTTGGGTACGAAGTTTCAGTTTTATGGAAAAGTTTCTAGAGATAAAGATAATGCTCCTTGGTTATCTTTATCTACGCTCCATGAGACCGCAGACCAGATGTAGATAAAGATAAGTTCTGTTGTCAACTGATTGACCTCAACTAAATATACTCGGTAAATATCCTAGTGCTAACTGAAGACATACGCACTGCCGGCGCCCGAAATCAGAGTAGAGCCGTTAATGTGGTCAGTGGGAATAATTTTTTGCTGCTCAGATAACATGCATTGTCTTCTGCAGCTTTCATCTTGCTACCTTGTATCTTAATGTGCCAAAAAAAAGTAGCGTAACTAAGATCGTTAAGCAGTAATGCTAGGTCTGGTGCTGATGCTAACCAACTGAATGCTGCGTGCAGATCACAGACTACTTCTAACTAGCACCCATTTCGAACACGGGGATCGTTAATATACTACTCGATTACTCCATTGTCATTCAAATGTGGACTCAAACAGACCATATCGCAATTATCTAAAGATGATTTGGGTGCATTTGCCGCTGCAATTCCTTCAGGAGCACTTGTATGAACCTTAATCGCTTTTTCTACGTGTTAAGTTCATATGAACCTCGCCCAGTTCACTAGTTACTAACCGGCCCTAAGCCCCGAGAAACACGGAAGGTTGGGCATACCGCTAGCAACCCTACCCCGTCAAACCAATCCAATCACTAAAGAAACTTCAAAGCACAAAGAAAGTATAAAAATAAAACAAACTTATTGCTCTCTACAATCGGAGGAGACGAAACGACGCCAGTTGGTGAAAGCCTTCGAGAAACCGATTGACCGATGTGTCTTCTCATTTCTCAATGAAAGCAAAAGTAAGAATCGGGACATACAATGTCTGCACCATATATAAACCTAACAAGGCTGCCCAGATTGACAAAGAGATGAGAGAGTATAGCATAGAAGTGTCAGGTTATGAATCTGACAAGAATCTTCAGACAGAATGGAATGCAATGCAATGCAATGGAAGTGGACTCTCCCAACTGTCAACTCGAGAGGAGTCAATAATCTACTCCAATATTGTCACACAGACAACATGACACGACACGACAACCACGAGCACAACACACTGAGTTTTCAAATGGCTATCATGTGTCCCCTACCAACAGCATCGAACACACTCTCCCTCTCTCTCTCTCTCCCTCTGTCTCATGCAGTGGGAACCAATCTCCTCCTCAACGATCAGGATCACAATCATCACAGCAAGATGAATTCAACTCAAAAGAGGGGAAGTCACAGTCATACAATGCTACGCTATGCACCCACAAATAATGCAGATCAGGAAGAGAAGAAGGAGGAATTCTACAGACAACTGAAATCAGTAATCGACGAGACCAAAACCACAGATAGCGACATCAAAATTCATTCTAATGGGCGACATAAATGCAAAACTGGGAGCGGACAACACACGAAGTGGAAGAGAACTCATCATGGGTCGAGAAGCACTCGGTGAAATGATCAATCGGATTGCAGAACTGTTTGCAGATTTCTGTGCATTCAACGATTTGTTGGCTGGAGGCAGTCTGTACAAACACGAGGATATTCACAAGGCAGCGATATGGATTTGATTTCACCAGACACCACGACACACTAAAAATCACATCGACTTCATCTCAATGTGAAGAAAGTGGAGATGGAGACACAGCCGGCCTACTGGACACAAGGTCAGATCAACAAGAGGAGCAGATATAGGTTCACATCACTCACTATCCAGTGCGAGGAACCTACCTTCAAAATCAAGTTGAAAGCCTTCAAACAAGCTAGTGGTGACAGACCACACTTCAAGTTCGAGTTCAACACCCAGAACACAAACTGAACTGAAGGACGAAACTACAAACGACATCTTCACGTCAGTTAGCCATCAGGACAAAATGGGAGACATCAAGCAGCATCACTGAAGAAACATGCATGAAATAACAATGGAACTCCTTGAGAGTGATGTGGAAGGAAACCTGTGTAACTGTATTGGCAAGGAAGAAAAAAGAAGACAAGCAAAGGATTTCGACGACACATGGAAGTTGATAAAGGAGGAAGAGGAAGATGGTTGAGCAGAAGATGAACCAGTGCAGTGCGGTGCAGTGTAGTACAGGGATGAACAACGAAAAGAGGAACTGAATACAACCTATAAAACACTACACTGCACAAAGAAGTGAAGAAGAGTTGGCGTAAACACAAAGAACACTTCTACAACACACTCGCAAGTGAAGCAAAACAGGCTGCAGGTAGGAGAGACACAGACCTGACAACATTAAATCAAATAACCAAATACTATCTGGGAAGAGATCAACACAGATGAAACCAATGAAAGATAGTGAAGGAAACTTTGATACAGAAGAGGACAAACAAAGAAAACACTGGGTTGACCACTCTTGAACCGACAACCACCACCACCACTGCAACTCGTCCAGAAATGTCACCAGCAGCCCAGTCACAGAACTATCAGTGAACACAAGCCCTACGACACAAGCAGAAGTGAAGTCCTCAACGCCATAAAGTTGCTGGAATCCGGGAAAGCAGTAGGACCAGATCGAATTCCTCCACAAGAACTGAAAACAGATGCAGAGACAACAGCGGACATGCTCACACCACTACTGCAGAAGGTTTGCAAAGAGAAAAAGAGAAGGGCATCTGCCGATTCAAAGAACGGCTACCTTGTCAAACTTTCAAACAAGGGTGACATAAGTATTTGCAAGAACAATCACTGGCGCGGAATCATGATACTGTACCTGACAACCCAAAGCAATCAGTAAGCACCAATGATCATCAACTGGAGAAATTTAAAGGAAGTTGTCTCTTTCACCATCTACCCAAACACGACGCAGCATCGTTTCAACCATAGGTGGCACAGCCACACATCAACATCAGGATGTCAAAGCACACACGATCAGAAGGACAGCAAGCAACACACCACCTTCCTTCATTCATCTGGAATCAGTGTACAGATCTACTGCACTGCACTGCACTCAGCACAAAGCGTGAACAACATCCACACTTTCAACACTAATGTCAGTCAAGTAATTCAGTGCTTCCATCTGATGCTTCACAAACTTGACCGCGCCTTACGAAAAGCATTTCCAACAAACTACAGACATGCATCATCAACAGCTGTCTACGCCTACACCTACAATCACTCGATACTGATACTGACACTGAAGATCTGATGGCCAGAAAGAATAAACAACAAGGAACTCACTCTGGCTGGCCTGGCGACGAATCAACCAACAACCCATCGCCCAACAAATATGCAGAGGAAAGTGGAGATGGATTGAACTGGACATACACTGAGAAGACCGTTCGGGGACATCACGCGACAGGCCAGACCCTCGAGTGGGATCTAAAGGGGAAACGTCAAGTTGGGAGTCCGAGCCAAGGGTGACGTGGAGGAGATGGTGTGAGGAGGAAATGACGGCTTCTGGGCAGTGGTGGAGCCAGGTTGAAAAGACTGCAGAGAAGAGAGTGAAATGGCGACGGGCTACTGAAGCCCTATGTTCCACTCGAAACTCAAGGGAGAAATAATAATAAGTTCACATTACATGATGACAACCATCATTCTCCTAAACCGGTCGACTTAAGCAAATTAGCGTTAGCGAATACTGAAACTGAATACTGAACCGAGATAGATTCGAAGCTAGCTGTCTATCCCCAAAAATCGTGAACGAGCAGTGGCTGTACCAATTAAACATGGAAAAATATTAAAATCGTTTGTGCGTCCAACAAACTCCATTCTGACGAACACGGGGCCTGTGCGAGCTCCGTCGCAACTTTTTGATTCTGACTGGTGCATTCTGTGTTACAGCAGACAATAGTATAATCAAGTCTTCTGTATTTGAGAAATTCCAACGCAAATACATAAGGACTGCTTCCCTTTGTGGTCAGAATA